AGAAATCAGTGCACCCAGCAGAGCAGCTGAAAGTATTTATGAAACATCCGCTTTTCTTTTCACAGAAAAAGCAAACTAAGTGAAAAACTTAAGACGCTTATAGTGTCATCATTTCATAGTCTGTTATCTCAAGAGTTTGTTTTTTCTAGGCATGCAGAACTTCCTCTAAGAGTTGGTTGTGTTGAATTTCAAAGAAAATTCCCTACGTTCTTCTAGACCTGTCAGTAGCATGTAGCCAGTATCGGGCGTTCGAGTCGCAACGAGGAAATTTTAAGACGAGAAGGCGTTTCTTTGTTGTCGTGTTTGTGAGACTGTTATATGATCACATGTAGTAAATATTTGAGAATCTGTACATGACGGGCCTTTCTTTGCTAAATATCATGTTTCCTGTTCTTATATTAGATATATACGCCGGACATAGATGTTCTCTGCAGAAGTCGATGTTCTGTAACGCCACATAGAATTTCGGAGAAACATACTGTTTCCATTTTCAGGCTTAAAGTGGTGATTGGTAAGTTGAGAGCTTATATAACGCCAATCACAGTCAAGGAATGAGAAGGAACCTTCTGAAACTTTTTCATCTTCAGTTTTGAAATCACAACGAAATTCCTGCAAATGAGCTCGCTCAGGTCACTCATAAAAAACATTGGCTCCTCAGTTTTATGAGAAAATAAGCCACTTCTCGCCTGGCTACTCTTCACGTAAATTGCTCAAGGACAGCCCTTTCTTCTGTGCAAGTAACTTAATTTCAGCCCAACAGAACGCTTTTCTGTGGATACATCTTGAGAGCAAGCAGAGTACAAGATATTGATAGGCTTATGGTGTAATTAATAATTTCAGAAATTGCTTCATGTAAGAAAGCCGTATCTCCTAACGCTTTTAGACATCACAACATAATAGAATGGCAGCATACTAATGGCCCTTGACAGAAATTATATATGAATTATTTGAGCGATATAGCTAAGAAAAAATGTTTGTGTTTACGTGGATTTTTTATAGCATGCACCAGTTTCAAAGAAGCCTTACGGGCAAAATGGTAATGCAATAGCATAGTTCCCTTAATGGGCACAAGGGCATACAGAAACATCTTGACATAAATCACTTCACGTTGGTTTGAAATTTAATGAGCATGTCTGTAGTTGCAAAGAACGCATGAGGAGAGACTGTATTCCTTTGCGGAATTATTTATTTCCGATAGAACGTCCGGTCTGCCCAGTGTAGACTTTGCCGCCCACTTTTGAAATTCCTTCCACGGTTATAATGATGGTAATTTTAATCAGGTTGCATTTGTGAGGTTAGGATCGGTGAGTGATCTTGGTCATGCTATGTTATTAAAATAATTCATTATCGGTTAGTGATGTCTGAGTACAGTAATGACATTTGTCATGCTCGGTTAGTGATGTTGCTGAGGCTAGGCTTCAGACCATACATTTAAAGATACTGTACGAATTATATTTAGGGATGAAATGTTGCATGGATATCCAAATGCTGACAGATAAATATTGGCTAATGCTAAGCCGTCTTATAATTTCATTACTAACAGTGGGAAAGTTTGTTTTAAAATCAATAGCCATGTACTTGCATGCGCCATATTATTTCTTAATACAGTATGTCAATTTAGCAGAAACTCTTAATGTTAATTTGCAGAAGTACTGAATAATTCCACTTTCATCATCGATGAAGCCTTGATCTCAAAAATGGCATTTTCTCAAGAAACAGAGAAACATTTGTATAATTTGAAAGAATCTAATTTCATTTGTGTTTATGAGAGTTTTATTAGTTTCAACTGTTGAGCCTATTTTTCAAGTCCTTATATTCCATTACTTATGAAGTTAACTGTTCCTGGTATATAATTAAATTCTAAGTGATTTATTTTAAACTGGAAAGCCATGGCCATATTGTATATGTACAAAATACAGTACTTGTTTTCTAGAAACAAAGGGAAGATAATATAATCAAAGTTTCTGGAAGATGTAATAAAATTATTTAATTGCATTTAGTCCATTATTGTCTTTCTTGCATTAAAATCTTTTTGTTGGAGTAGAATACAGTACAAAACTCCCTTGCTGAGCTACAATAGCAGTAAAGAAAGAACTCTATGTTGTGTGTTGCTTTTTTTAATTTTCCTTTCAGAACTGAATAGTCTATCAGAAAACAATGGACCATGTGCAGACTATAAACCTGGAGAAGATGATCTCCAAGCATTTGATTTCATACGCAAGTTTCGATTGGATGTCTTGGAGACTCAGTATCCAGGAGTCACAAGAGTCAGGGGATCAAATCGAATGCAGACAGCATATCGACTAGACAGAGATGCTGATCTGACACTGCCAACTAGGTAACACTCATCTTTCCTTTCTCTAACAGCACAGCTTTGAATCTACAACAATAAAGTGCTGCATTTAAGAAACTCATATTCAAGAACTGTTATTGTTACATTTCTGTGTAGAATATTATGATACATTTTTGTGAAATTTGCTTTGCCAAAAATTGAAGACTAGTTCAATTGTTATTTAACACTAAAGATTAAGAAGTTACAGGTTATGTGCAAATTATAAATTGCATGTTTAGATATTGATATAAAATTTTCAAATAAGCAGCTGGCACTGTACATATACACATTGTGTGTTTGAACTACGAAGTCCTTGAGACAGGATCAAGGATTTAATTATTTTAAATTTACCATTTGATTGCAGGGATGTCTTTCCATTGGGCCTACCTGAACAATTTTCATTCATCAGTACATTTCGAACTCGAAAATTGGCAAAGAGCCCTTGGCATATAATTAGAATATCTGACATTCAAAACAAACCTCAGTTCCTCATCACTTTAAATCCAAGGAAGGAGTCAATTGAGTTTTCCATAACAAATTTTGAAGGGAGACTTCAGACGCTTGTCTTCAATAAGGCACCGGTAAGATGCAATATGCAATAATATGAATACAAGTAAGAACTTATGCTATTACTGCAGCCAATATTGTATTTAATTAATATGATAAATTGAATGTCCTGAAAGTTATATAAAAATGAGTCCATATAAGTTCATTTATTTTAACATAAATGACTCACAAGATTTGATTAATTTTGTTTTGATTTTAAAATTATCAGCTTAAAATTGACAATGTCATTTTCAGAATTTCAGGGTAATGGTACTCAAATATGGATTACGTATGTACAACTGAAAGTTTTGGCTGTTTTAATATGTGACATACTATTAAGACAAATTTGAATTTATTTATTTATTTTAACTTTAAGTTTGGTGTACTCAGATTGACAGTGAATTGGAATATGTTTTTTTAATGTTGGATTAAGTCAGACTGAGGAATTAAAAAGTAAACTTTCTGTTAATAAAATCTTCTTAGGCTATCAGCTGTATCAGTTGGTTAAACATCACTGATGTATCAGAAACCATCTATGTTACCATGAGGTCTATGATGTATTTGTGTGATGGGGACGGAGATGGTCCCTCAAATGTTGGTGTGTGTGTGTGTATACAAATGCACTCTATGTACCCTTAAACACCTTCAACACAGAAAGTGTAATGTATGATCTGAAGTTTTCCCAGCAACTAACACAACAAAGTAATTACAATGTTGATTCTTGGTTTTTCTTTTATGTCACTTTTCATACAGTCTGTTCACTTGAACAATATATTTTGGCCAAATGTAGCTATCATCAAGTTCAGCTGTCTGCTTTTATTTTATTACATTAGGGATCATTTTATCTATTCTCGATGTCAATAAATAATGATAAAATTACGTGTTATAATGTTTTAAAATGGTTAAGAAGTTAAAAATTATAAAAATGTTAAGTTTTTTTTTTCACAGCTTGGTGAGTCCTAGTGTGTTTGATCTGAGTGGTATATGTTGTGGTACATTGTTGTAGAATGGTAATTCTAACATTTACAAATAATTCTTTCTTCCAATGAGTACCCTTTTATAATATAGGGTTGTAGAATGGACTGGTATAAACAAACTCATGGTTACTCTTCAGTACAGGTGTTATGTGTAAATATTTAGCTTCTCATGTGTGTGACATACTGAAGGAGTAATTTCTCCTGCAAATAATCTGTTCCATGAGTTAGAAGGTTTTGTGTGAGTCCAATCTCTCCTGATTTGTTGCTGGTAGGTATTTGACAAGAACTGGCACAAGCTCCATTTTGGAGTGTACAGAGACCAGGTAGTGCTGTATGTGGATTGTGAACAGAATATGGCAGAGTTTCTGGAACCACGCGGCCCTATTGATGTTAATGGTGACATCACGATATCCAAACTTGCTGGAAGTCGCAACACTGTGCCTGTATGTATCAGTTTTCATTGTTTACAGTTTACATCAGGTATGATTTTACGTAGGAGGTAAAGGGAGCACAAGACAGCTAATCCTCAGTCTGTTATATGCTTACAATCTGAATGCTTTAGAAGTAACCTGCAGTCTTATGTTCTAACTTAGATTAGTTTCACATAATGAATATGTAAATAAATGTGTACTAAATTTGTGTAATTTTAGATGTATAAAGTCACCCAAAGCTGTTAACGTTTACTGACCCTGTGTCATGCCTTATGTGTAGTCAGCTGGCCATGCATTTCACTACCATTCACCTTTACTGTTAACCCTAGACATAAAGACTGACTAGCATCCTATAGTACAGGGCTTTAAATTACATTTTCCCATACAATAAATATTAAGATCCCTAATATTGGTGGCTCTTATGTGTTAATACTCAATGAACCCCTCAGTCAGTAAATCCAATAAATATATATATATAAGATGTAGGGCAAATTTTTTTGTTCATAAATTAGCCTTAAAATAATAGTTTAGCATGAAGAATTTGCAGTTATGAAGTTTTCTAATGAAACCTCTGAATCACAATTTGTAACTGTCTAAGGTGTATTGCACCAGCACAAAATGAAACCTCTGAATCACAATTTGTAACTAAGGTGTATTGCACCAGCACAAATTAATAAAACTGACATGAAATACGAATATTATGAAAACCCCTCATTTAAAAAAAAATTGACAGTAAAAGTTAGATATTGGTTTGCATAAAATTATGCCAACATGAATTAAGTTCTTTAATTGTATTATTAAATTGGAAATGTTTCCTTAGTTGTAAGTCAGTTACAAAATGATGTTACACGGTCTCCACCATTGTTATAAAATATAATTTCATTATACCTTAGTAACTGCAAGAACATGTTCTGTCAGCATAGGATGGAAGTCTATGAATAGACATAAATATGAAGACAGTTTCACCAGGGAAAGATAATGAATCCTATTATAGGAACAAAGTATTTTGCTCTTTTCGTGAACCTAGCTGTGTGCAAACTAGTGTTAGTCTAGTTGGTCAAAAATTACTACAGTTATGTCACTGTTTATATAAAATGTTGTTGACTGCCCTTCAATAAATTAAACCTCTACCCATACACATTTTAACCCTTCCTAACTTAACCTTTATTAACTTCTCTTACCACTACAAAGTGCACCACATTTTGCACTGTTACATGATGCAATGCACAAAACTAACCTCGGTTTTTGTCTTTGTTTGTTTTACAGGTCTCACAACTTGTAAGTATCATCTAACATTAATTTCATCTAATAAAATGCTGTAACAAACTGATTGGCACTATGAACTTACCTCAAGTGAACCTTATTGCCTGTAATTATAGTGTTTTTAGTGTATAATTGTAGTTTCATTGGTTCCAGAATTAATTGTTTGGCTCAGAACATGTCAGAAGTTAGATGTCTGGTAGTTGAATGTCAGCTGCTACAAAATCACTATGTTATACAACTAAATAAAATACACTTTTTGTAAGTTAGAAATGTTATGTGTATTACATTGTGAAAGAGGAATGAAGTGAAAGACGGCCTTTCAAGTTACATAGACCTAATTGGCTGGATTGAAGACATATGTGTTTCAGGACTTCAGTTTTTTGACGAATGAGTACCTATTTAGGAGAAAATAACAGTTAGATAAAAGTGAATTTAAAGTAATGTTTAATAATAGGTAATGGATATTGTAAGCGATAAACAATTGCAGGAAACTGAAAACATAAGTCACAATATGAAATAAAAATACCACACAACTACAATTATGACAATTTTACTATAGTTGGAAGATGTTTTGTAATATTGTCTGTTGAAACAGAACAGTTTATAGTTTGATTCTTTCATAATAAACTTTTATTTCAAAGAGTATTTCTTGGTCCCAGTAAGCATACTGCTTAATATTGGTATGATTTCAGATTGATCTTCAGTGGATGGTGCTGAGTTGTGACCCAACACGCCCAGAAAGGGAAAGCTGTGATGAGTTGCCTGTAAGTCCCTAAATTACATTATTATAGCTAGGAGGCTAATTGTTTGTTGTGGTTATTTGTTTCAGAATTGTTCAGGATTCTGCAAATTTCATATTAATTCTATTTGAAACAAGGAAGAATTTTTAAAGCAGAAAAAGAAACCTTGTGACAAAGTGCTAGCCTAATAACAAATAGGAACTGGGTTCAATCTTAGGCATTGCCACTAATATTAAATATAAAAAGTAATGAGAATTGACATCCTGTCACCTGAAGGAGGAAGTATAGTAAAGTTCAAAAACATCATGTGTATTAAATGCAGGTCTAAACAATGGGCAGTGTCCAACATAATATTAGTAAATGAATCAATCATTGACACACACCTAGAGAATCATAGGATGAGTTCTCTTTATGTTTGAATAACTTGGACATTTACCATTATTTTGGGACAAAGATTAATCATACACAACTCTTTGTTCTCGTTCTTGCAATTTTCAGAGATTTATCACTCTCATATTCTGTAACTATTGATCAATCCAATATCTTTCAAATTATTTCCTTTCATTCCTTTATCAGTTTCCTCCAACCACTTTTATTTTCCTATCTTCCCTCTCCACATCTTCCAATCCAACCACTTTTATTTTCCTATCTTCCACATCTTCCAGCTGGTCCATTGAATTACTTATTTTGGGCTTCTGATTTTTTTGCTGTATGTCATGACTGTCACAAAATTTTGGCTTTATCCTATACACAAGATTTTAATTAAAATCAATACTTTCTCCAACTGTTTCAATTCTGAAATTTTTTCTTCTTCTTGGTGAAGAATATACCGTACTGTTTTGATAAACATTTTGCACATGCAGCTGTTAGTTTATATTTCTTGCATTGTGATAATATCTAAATTTTACTGCCATAAAAAGGGATGGAAAAGCATTTGTTTTGTACAATTTTAGTCTTGAGCCTATTTAAATTAGATTACATTTTGGATTATTATTAGGAATTTCTAAAATTTATAAACATTTGTAACTTTGGAATTTCTGTTTTTCTTTCCTTGATATTATCTTCAGAGTCAATCTGAGAATGGAGACAGAGCAAGTCTCAAAACTTTTTTATCTAAATTTTGATGTGATAACCCAAGGTGATTTTAGCACATTACCATGTATGCTCCAATCTTACTAAATTTATGAATGTTAAACTGAGTTAATGACAGAGGGCAGCGTTATCTTCAGGCATTGAAATTTCTTTCTCTGTGTAATTTTTGTCAACTTTTATTAATTTCAATTTAATTTTAATAGTAGATATAAATCTCTTCTAATGTATTAAAATGATATATAAGTCAGTTATTAATCAAAATCTTTTTCAAATGTTTCAGAGAAGCAGTCCATTGCCAGCTACTCCATCTTGTGAGGTAGTGTGTCCCCAGGGCCCACCTGGCTTTAATGGCACTGATGTAAGTGGCTCACCCAAAATAAAAATTTGTAAAAAGGAATAACAACATTTATATAAAATTCAGCAGCCATTATTATTTACAAAGAAATAAATTTGTGTCTATGTAGTGAAAATACAATTCATGCTCTTTACACATAAATGTAGTCATAATATCTACAATCAAATTTATATTTTTACTGATTTTTGTAATGTATACAACTCATAATGATTTGCTGCCTCAAAAACTCAGTATTTAACTTTATTATGACTGTAACAAGTAGTGTCATAAAGGTTCCCTCTTGCTGACAACATATATAATGGAAATCGTCAGTGCCTTGAATATGCCTCAATGTAGAGTAATCGCATTGAGAGCAGATTAAATTCAAGATGCACAGTTATTATAATTCTGGTTTCTTTGACACACTGTTGTAAACATATTTTTTAAATTAATTTTAATTTTCAAGGTGGTTTAAAAATCCAAGTTTTTCTCTTCAAACTAAATGTGACCAAATTATTTTTTTTTCCTGTCATTTGGTGCATGATGGAAGGGAGACATTTGAATTTTAACCATTTAACCATCATTCAAGTTATCTTTTACCAACAAAAAAGAAAGAAGTATGTTTTGTTCAAAATCTGAGATTAAATCAAAATCTCATAAATATGAAAAACAGATTACATTTGAGTATGGTTTAGATCTGGCAATGTACACGGAGGATAAATTATACCTTAACGCTTTAATTTCCCACATGAAAATATAAACTGCAATGATACCACGCTTTTGTTCCAGTCAACTACATGTGTGTGTGTAAATATAAAATTATTTCTATGAATGTACATTTCAGGAGAAATCTCCAGTGTTTAAATACTGAAGTTTTGTTTTCAGTGTTTAACTCATGGTCTCTCTACCATTGAATTTACCTTGGTTTGTCTAGATTGCTTAAGTACTTTCTTACTCAGAAAGGTGAGTGATCCAAAAGTTTTGTTTTTAATGTTTCTTGTGTTTGTGTTGTGAAACTGTTTGATTGTGAAAGGGTACAAATGGACCACCAGGCCTTCCAGGTGTCCCTGGTCCTCAAGGTGCACCAGGCATCAGAGGGCAGAGGGGCACACATGGTGAAGCAGGAGAGCCTGGATTGCCAGTACGTCATGTGAACATCATACACATCAAAATCGTTCCAATTTGTCTAACAGATTTTGTAGTTTGTTGTATTATTAATACTAAGGTTTTCTGTAAGCTTTAGTTGATGGTATTCGTAATTAAATCCGAGAAAGATTGAGTGGTTTTAAACAAATTCGTTGATTCAAATTAAATTAAATTCTCCATTTATAAGGAATATTTTATATCATGCAAGTCTACAGTAACTTAAAAAGAAATTCCTTTTATAAAATTAACTCAGCGTGTATTACCAGTGACCTGTCTTGACTTGATTGCTGGATAAAGATAAAAGCTGACTCCACAAATCCGATTCACTGGCCATTCTGCTCTTTAGCAAGTTACTATCCTTGATTTATGTAATAACATGCAGTTCTAAAATTGTGTACATTTTAATGCAGGATATGAAGGTCCAACTTTCATTATGTCATTTACTTTTATTATTTTTTTAGTTATATACATTTACGCAAAGCTGAAGGGGTGTGTCAGAGAGCTCTTCACTCTGTTTGACCTTTAGCTTGGACCTTAGCCTCATTCTTTGTACATATGAAAATTATAAGAATTGTAAATTTTACATTTATTTCAGCAGTTTGATATTAAAAATTATTCTTTATTTGTTTCCTAATTTTTTATCTCCTTATCATGTTCACCTCTTTTACGCTTTACTTACATTCCTGACAAGGCAACATTTTAATATGGCCCAAAATAGCTGATTCCACTGAGTGTGTAACATTTTCAACTACAAAAGAGTAATTTTTATTTGTGTGTACTATATGCTATGAAATTTCTGTCTCCCTCACATTTGAGTCTTGCAGTATTGAATATCGAAACCACTCAAACTTTGAAGGTGAAATTCCTTGTAGATGTATTTTTCTTCTCTTTCTGTTTTAACCCAGGCCTGGAGTTCAGCGTGGATGACAAGTTGAGGCAGCAGAGGTTCGCATAACAGCATGGTGACAATCAGCTGCTTCTGGAAACTAGCTCTCAAAACATGTCATTTTTCCAAATAATAATTAAAATATTTTTTTTTATTATGTCCTTCAGAAGGACTGTCCAGTTTTGTTAGTAACAGTTGTCTTCTCTTTTAATGTAGATTCAAGAATATTTCCCTATATCTATACCTATAGAGCCTGGATGTTAAGGTAAAAAAAACATGCTTTGTGATCTTATAAATTTTAAAAAAGAAGTAATTTCAATTTGTACTGGTATTGATGATAACTGCAGCCTATAGACACCATAAGACAGTGAAGAAATATTGGTCCAAACATCAATATTTCTCTTCTGTGTCATGATACCATGTGTACTCACACATTGATACAGCCATTTTGGAGAAACATAGCTATCTTTAAAACTTTGCATACCGTGTAGTGTATTAGAATATAAAATAAGCAAACAAACAAACTATTAACACTATAAAAAAGACACTAGTGCCATACACATTTCAACCTCAAGAAGTCATCGTCAGTGGCAACAGGGAAATTAATTCATTTAATCAGAATGGTTTAAAATTGGTCTAAATATGGTTTAGAAAACAAATCATGAAGTGGAGTTATTTTACAAAAGCATATCAAGCAACACTACACTAGATGTTGGTTTCACAGGAGTTGAACTCTGCACTTAGCTATTGATCCGATGGTCTGATGGCCATAGCTGGTCTGCGGTGAGCTGTTGTTGCGTCATCCGTACCTGTGAATTAATTTCTCTGTTGCCACTGATGATGACCTCTTGAGGTTGAAACGCGTATGGCACTATTGTCTTTTTTATAGTGTTAATAGTTTGTTTGTTTGCTTATTTTATAGCTATCTTTCTATGAGTCTGCATGGTGTCACAACCCAGAACAACAACATTGGCAACTTCACTATTGTGAGAACCTCAAATCTTACTTTACACAAAATGTTGTTGGGAAATATAAGCATAGTTTTTGTTAATATCCAGGTTGAAACATTAAGTTTTCATTTGCAATTTTATAAAGAAATAAGCATAGTAAAGTGTTAGGTTTTCACATTAGAAGTATTACATTTATTTATGTGGTTGGAAGAATGATATGAACTATGTAACTCTTGAGAGCTCATTTAGACAACATATGAAAATGTAGTAATCTTATGTCTAGTTAATTCCAACACACAAGTGGGTGCGGAACTTGGTATATTGATTCTCAGGTTTGGTAAAATAATGTTGCCTCTTCACCACTGTCTCATTTTCTTGTTGTCTTACATAGGGTTTGCCGGGTTTGATCGGACCTCTTGGACCTATCGGCGAGCCGGGAATACCGGGTTTTCCCGGCCAGAAGGGAGCTACCGGACCTCCCGGCCGCCCTGTAGGTTACCAACCCCCACTAACAGCTTGCCGGTAACTCACCCCATTACACAAAACACATCACTGCACACTGCATACTGAATTCACATTCATACATTATCATGCCACATGTATTATAGTAACAATATAGTCTGCTTTAGTTGGGAATCTGTTAATACTCACATTGCAATATGAATTAAAGAAATATTTGCCTTAACAGAAGTGATTAAAGTTTCTAAGAGTCTCAGGAGCTTGATGAAAAATATTTCATAAGCTTTCTGATATCACTTAAATACATTCATAATGGAATGTCTCTTCAAGAAAAGGCTTAAAATTGCCTTCAAATTAAATATGAATTATCCTACTTAGAGTAGAAAGTAAAAATATACACAAAGATCCTCTACATCTGTTGATTTAACAATAAGTTGCTTTAGTTCTAAGATTGTTGTGGAAAATTCTGAAATTCACGGAGTAGATTCTGCTATGTACTCAAGTATTCTACACTTGTTGATAACTGAGAATCATAAAGAGTAGTTTTGTGGAACAACTACCTATTGTCTAGGTTTATTCATACGTTAGTTTTTAAGAATATGTATTTTAAGGTGACTAATTAAAAAGGAATGATATAAGTGAGGCATGTAGCATGGATGAGGGGTAAAAGGGAATGCATATAGAAAGTCTTGTTTGTCAATCCTCATGGGAAAAGAACAAGTAGGAGCCACTGGCAGGTATGGGATATTAATATTAAAATGAAGCATTAATGCATTCTTAACATCTAAAATTGAATTAGCTTGTTTGCTTTTGTACTCAAACACTGTTCTAATAATTTTGAGTTATACAAGGACAATGTTCTCCAGTCATGTTACATGTGGTTACACACATATTTGTTTTAATATAATTGAAAATTAATTGAAAGTTGGTAAAAAGAAATTTTATTGTGTTATCGAGACTTGCTTTTTGAAATGTCAATGCACATTGTCCAATAATGGTACTTCATTATTAGCTAATGTTACATGAGTATTAATTTGTAACAATGGGAGGAGATTGCTTCAAGGAAAGCATTAGTGTATTGTTGTGCTAGGAAGGATCCAGTATGTTGAAGTGTACTGGTAAACAAGATCTAAATTTGGGGACAGATTGAGAAGGAAAGGAAAAAATAAACATCTGGAGAAATTTCAGTTTCTAACAGCTGCAAGTATGTGGATTCTGAAAGTATTATACTAATACAAAGGAGCTGATAAATTGTATTTCTAATGGCACAGATGATGTTGGTGGTGATAAGTGGTTGATGGTCCTATTGGTGGAGGTATAAGAGCCAGGCTGTTTGAAGAAGTTTTCTGCTGTCTGTTGTACAGTAATGAATTACCACTGTTATAGGGAGGAACATAGTGATGATTAGGTTTGTTAAAATAGTTAAATTGCTAGGTCCCTGAAAATGGAATTTGAATCAATAAAATTGTAACCAATGTCATTTGTCTGTCAGTAATGCAAAAATATATTAATGGAATTTAGTCATGAGTTCAGTTAGTAATACCACTTGTGAAGTCTGAGTGGATTACTGATAGCAACAATTGTTTAAAATGGTTAATGTGAAAATCTGATGGTTGCAAAAGTGACTTTTTTCATCAATGAATTTTTCTAGTGTAGTGTTCCAGGTCTTAAGATGTTTTTAAGTCTGAAATTTTAAAAAAAGTATTAGAATATTATAAGTATGAATCAAAGCTCAAAAATATACTTTCTTAGTAAATACTTGAATTAGCTTGTTTATTAAATTACTTATTTACAAGGTAGACTGAAGTGTACATTAAAAAAAATATTGAAGTATTTGCAACATAGCAGAGATAACATTAGTATTTCTGGTCAGAATATAGCATGCAGACACACCTAGTATGTAGTATTTAATTGAACGTAGTGTAGAGACGTGTGAATTCTAGTTATTTCATAAATTCGTATTCTAGATTAATAACTTGCATACAATTAAATATGAGTTATAACTTACATTTACTGTGGTTAGTTACACACTAAAACAATTACCATTTTATAATGAGTAATCCTGATAAAAATATTACTTTCTAATGATGTGTAGAAAGTTTGTAGTTCATGCATGTAATTATAAATATCTAACAGAGAACACAACAAAACTAATTGGGCCTGTGTCAATATACAGGGTATACCAGGACCACAAGGGCTTTCTGGTGCTAGAGGTCTGCCTGGAACTCAAGGGAATAGAGGTCCCCCAGGAGATTCAGGTTTACCTGGTGCTAAAGGCGATCGGGTAAGTTTCTGTAATAATACCTACTTTTTTAATAAAATCGGGACCTATTTATAGACTTCAAGTAAGTTTAATAATATGAAGATAAGTAGTATATAACTTTCTCATTGAATTTGGTACACCCATGAAACTAATTAGGCTAATTAAAATATGTTTCAACAAAAACTATAATAAAATTTGTGTACATATATATATATTATTCTCATGTTTAGTGTTGGTCTTCTGGTTAGTAACACCATATAGACTTGTTGGCAGATTCATTGTGTTTCAGACAAACATACTCTCTCAATCTTCATACTTCAGGCCTGAAGGTGGAGGCAGTGTTTTTGTTCAGAATGTTGGTATCTACCTACAAATCCTCATAGCATCACAATCCAGAAGGCCATCAACATCTTCATGATTGTGAGAACCCAAAATCTCATTTGTTTTGTGTATTTCCTATTCAGAATTGTTTGAAGTAAGAAAATGCTTCATCTGTGTTGCTTTTCGACAGTTTTTAATGTGCCAGTAGGAAGGTGCCAAAGAAAATCAGCAAGTACTGGAATTAAATAGAGTGTGTCAGCTTCAGTTCTATGCTGATGATTGTAATTTGTGAGATGAGAATGTATCACAAGGGAAAAGCAATGGGAACTATATTACATACTATTAAGGAGATCGGTCTAGAAATGAATGCAGAGAAAGTTAAGTAGAATGCAAGACAAAAGTATGATTTAAAGGTAGCTAATAAATTGTTTAAAATTTAGCAAAGCAAAAATATTTTGGGATCAACATTAATAAATAAAAAGTACATTCACAAAGAAATTAAGATCATATTAAACTCACAGAATACTTGCTATCATTCAGTTCATAATCTTTAACCTGTCAGTATCCTGTTTGAAGTGGATGTCAAAATTGGAAGAAGCTAGACTGAAGGTGTTTGGAAAGAAGGTTTTGTGGAAAATATTTGGACCTGAGACAGAGGAAGTAATGGGAGGTTGGAGAAAAGTACACGATGAAGAGCTTTGTAATTTGTATTTTTTACCACACACATTAGGGTTATTAAAGCAAGGAAGATGAAATGGGTGGTGCATGTATCATGGATGGGAGACATGAGAAATTAATATGAAACTTTAGCTGGAAAACCTAAAAGGAAGAAATCACTTGGGAGACATAATAATATAATATACAGTATGTAATATTGGAATAGATTTTAAGGAAACAGGTTGTGAGATTGTGGATTCATATGACTTGAGTTTTCTTGTGATGAATGGTAATGAATCTTCAATTTCCATAAAAGGTGTGAATGTCTAGTCTATGTTAGTGACTATCACATTTACAGAGAGGTCTGCATTCCTTGGAGTTAGTCAGATAGTAGTATCTACAATCAGAAATAATTATAATATCATATTCAGAATTGTTAGTCCCGCACTATTTATTGTTTCCATACTGTACTCTAAATCTGTTTTGTGTATTCAATCCTAGGGAGAGTCTGGTTTGTCAGGAATAAAAGGGGAACGTGGTGATGATGGTCAACCTGGAATTCCTGGCCTTGAGGGACCACCTGGACCACGTGGGTTACCAGGTGAAGGTGGTGGAGTAGGAGAGAGAGTGCCTGGTCCACCTGGACAACCAGGACCAATTGGACCACCAGTGAGTACCAGAAACTTGTGGTTATGATGTAGGGGTTTGTTATATGAAAATTTTTCTATTAAAGAATTATGTCAATCAGAAGTTTGTATCCAGTAATGACCCTATTGGCAGACTGAAATGAATGAAGCATTTTATATGCATATCATATAGGAATCTCGTATTTCACTTTTAAAACTTGTTACCATCCTTTAAATGTCTTTTTTCCTATTGCTTTCTTCTCTGAACCTAATGATTTATGTAAGAGCATTTTGTGTATTTGTCAGAAAGATACCATTGCCGGCATGGTGGAAACGTCCTATTTATAACCAGGGCTGTGGAGTCAAGAGTCAGAAATAATTTTAGGTGGAGTCACAGTTGGTAAAAATGTACCGACACCGACCTCAATATAAAATCTTAAGAACAATTTCTATACCGTGTGAGCCGTTGGTGGCTTCATGCTTAGGGAGATCCAACGACACGTTGAGCCACATGGTGTGGGAATAAAGCTTTGTAACTTTGGCTCCTGTACCTTAAGAACACAGTGTGTCTACAAATCAACCGATTTCTGCAATAACCATTAGACACATACTTAAATATAGGTTATAAGTCTAAAAAGTAGGCTGATGATTCACGTGGTGGTGATGAAATCTCTTATGGTGCCATTTACCATTTTAGTTGGTTTTACCCTTATTGATAGATATTGAGCTTTTATGAAAGATTCAGAGGCGAAGCCAGAGTTGGAGTAGGATATTTTAGTACCAACTCCACAGCCCTGTTTATAACAAAGGAAAGGAAAACTACCCATTAATTTTCTATTGTGTTAACTGAAGTAATACACTGTTTTAGGGCCTGCCAGGAGAACTTGGTCCTGAAGGACCTCAAGGCCGGAGAGGAGTGTCTGGGGAGCCTGGTCCTACAGGATTACCTGGTCGAGATGGTAGTAATGGAGAAAGAGGTCTGAAAGGAGAGAGAGGAGAACCTGGACTTCAAGGAAATAGGGGACTTCCAGGTCTTGCAGTAAGTTCTTAAAACTTATAATTTTAGTTTGTTTGTGTGAATTAATTAAATGAGTAGATTTTTTACTTTCAGGACTTCCTGAAAGAATAGGCTTAGTCAAGTTATTATTGTCTGATATTCAAATAAACCATATCATTACAAATTATCAAAGTCTTAAATCTCCAGAAGTGTTATAATTTAAGGTATAAAATAAAAAATTGCTAATACATGATCCATTGCTTTGTGGTGACTGAATTTAATGTAGTATTCACAGGCTATCATCTGCATCAGTTCTCATCCTCAGGGATCTGATATGATGTAGATTCTTGATGATGAGGACCAGATGGCTCTCAAAATATTGGTTTCTTATAGCCATTTGATACAGCTGATTGCCTGCGAAGACTTCATTGAAGATATTTATATATTTAAATTAATTTGAAGTAGGATATGAGGTTTTCCTGGCAGTGAGTCCAAGGATGATTGTCTTCTGGGTTATAGCACCATGTAGTCTGGTAGAAGTAACCAACGTTTCAGTGGTCCTTGCTGATGATGGAGGCAACAAGGACCTCTGAAACATTGGTAAACATACCAGACTACTTGGTGCTATTACCCAGAAGAGAGCCATCTACTAATCTGTGGAGTTTCTTATGGGAATAACTTATGACGCTTACTTTCCTGTATATGTTTCCAGGTACATACAAATGCTAGCCAAATTTTATGAACATTTTATCTGCCTGTATAACCTTTGTAGCAAAACTGTGGTACTTCAGCAGACAACAAAGTTTAATTTTGTCAGGGTCCACCAGGCCCTTCAGGTCTTCCTGGTGCTCAAGTGGAGGGCGAGGCTGTTCCTGGGCCTGCTGGACCTCCTGGATCTCCAGGTGAACCTGGAATTATGGGTCCTCCAGGGCCCAAAGGGAATAAAGGAGCACAGGGTGATCAAGGAGAGAGTGGTCCCAGGGGAGACAAAGGTATAGAAATGGATAGTAATAGTGTGTAGTGATGTGCACTGTATTGAAGTATCTGAGAGTGGGGAGTCGTTGTGTGATGAACGTCCAGGTTCATAACAACAGATGGACAGTCTACTCCAGGGACTTAGTTAAAGACTGATTCAGGTGTTCATATAACATTTACAGACATGAAATTAAAATAAGCTTAGCTGATTTGGTGAAGTCTGCTGAGAGACTTCAAAGCATAATGTCACATATTAATATATTAAATTTTGCATTTTCCCATATTAAGACAGAATATATGGGAACTCAGTAGAGTGCTTGGATCAAATTTATCTTTCGATGGCCTGTTGTTTTATTTAGTGTTATATGTACTTATGTTTCATTGACAAGTCCAGTGACAGTGACTAGCTCTATCTAAGGGACCCAACAAAGTAGGTATCTCTCACCTAAAGACGGAGACAGAACCAGCCTCCGAAACGTCGTGGATGGAAAAGTCCTGACAATGAATAATTTTAAGTTCTGATATAACTAAGAGTCTCTTGGTACGTTATGCTTCTTTTACTTTGAAGTTTCACTATCTTATTGGAAGGCTGTTAGAAGTGTTTGGAGATATTATTCTGTCTCAAAACTAATTTTGTATTACTTCATGAGATTAAATCACTTACAGTCATATAAATTAATTTAGAAATTTGTGCACTTTTCTAGATATCTGAAGGTCAAATAATGTATCATTTATGCATATCTAGGTGAGCGTGGTTTAACAGGACTGCCTGGAACAGATGGTTCAAGAGGTCCTCCAGGACGAGATGGCTCACCTGGACCTCTTGGGCAGAAGGGTGAACAGGGTTTTTCAGGTTCCACTGGACTTCAAGGACAAGCTGGGCTTGTTGGACTGCCAGTAAGCTACAGACATTATTACAATAGATACGTGAGATCAAACGTTGCGGCACAATTGGTTGCACTCTGAATTTGTATTTGAAGGCCCCAGATTTGAATCTTAGCCTAGTAACCAGATATCCTGAAGATTACTTTTATGGTTTTATTTAGTTTCTCTATGTAAATTATTGGATATTATCTTTGAATAAACTATGACCACTTCTTTCCACATCATTTGCTGTTCATCATTCAGAATCGTTTGTCCAAGCGTTACTGAAAAATACATACAGTCGAAAAACATAAACAAAAAATGTTAAGGTTAAAATGATTTGTTTATAGATCCATATTAAGGATGTTGTTAAGAAATTTAAATATGTTTACAAGGACATAAACTATATTACACCACCTAAGAATAAATGAAAGAGAGAGACTGGAAGGGGATGAAAGAAAAAAGAGTACAATAAATTGTTAAAATCATCATCATATGCCATCACAGGGCAGTTTTCTGTTGCATTACTCTCAGTAGTTCATAACTGACAAAACTACATTATACTGTGCCCCCCCCCCCCAATAAAAAACTTTGAAAGAATGTTTATCTATATTCCTTTTATTATCTAGTGAAATACATAACATTTTAATCACTTGTCAGGTATTTGTCTGTTCTCAAATAGGAATATTTGGATATTACTTTAAAACAGGTTTGCTAGATTGTGTATTCCTGTGTCCTTTCTGTTTCATTTTTACAGTCATTGTATCATTGCCGTTGTATAACCTTTACAATTCTGAATGAAGAAACATCGGCAGATTGATGACATTTGTTGGTAGGGTCCAGCTGGAGCCCCTGGAGGTCCTGGAAATCCTGGTCAGAAGGGAGAACCGGGCATTGCAGGAGAGCCTGGACTGCCTGGAACTGCAGCTGCTGCAGGTGACCCTGGACCTGTTGGGGCCCCTGGGCCTCCTGGTCCTCAAGGTGAAGATGGAGACAGAGGTGCTAAAGGTGATCGTGGTGAAGCAGGTCTACCAGGTTTGCCTGGCCCTAGTGGGCTTCCAGGAAGAGAAGGTTTACAGGGGGAAGAGGGAGAACAGGTATTGTACAATCCTTAAATGCATCATATCCTGTCCTTTTTATATTACATTTCACTTTTTGTATATTATAGACTTTAAAAGTACTCCGAACATGATATTAACCCTTAAAGTCTCATTCTTTCCATACAGACCCCACTCTGATAAATTTTCATAAGGATACTGTTACTACAGATTGTTTTTAAATTTTCTTGTTTCATGTAAGTCCAGTCTATGTAGTTTATAAGTATTTTGATCCTGAATAGTCCTAATAGTTAGAGATGTCAGCATGGTCTTCTTAGTTATGATGCTGTTTAGACATATATGTTTACCAACATTTCCGTAGGAACACTGACAACTACCTATGAGACTATGTGGAATCACAGCCCAGAAAACCATGACTGACATCTTTATCTCTGCGGGAAACCAGTACTCTGATAGTTTGAAATAACTCTTGATTTCAGGGTCCTCCAGGTCCAAAGGGTGAGAATGGTCCACGAGGTCCGGAAGGCCCAGAGGTGAGACTCTAACAGATTTAACTGTGGTAACACGCCAAATATCAAATTTTAAAGTGCAAAATGGCATCTCCTCAGCAACCTTTACGGTGCCACATAGGATAAATTTTAAGAAAAAGTTATATACCAATCAGACTGGTTTGCCATAATTGAGACATGTATCATATTGGATTGCAGCATACAAAAACTTTTGCATGTTTTTATTTTCTGTGTATGAAGTCACTAGAACTTGGCCCTAAAGGCTTAAATATTCTTTTAGATGCCATGAGTTTAGAAACTTCAGTTATTTATGGTAGTAATGTATTATGTGCAGGGTCAGATAGGCAGCCCAGGAGCACCTGGACTTATCGGGTTGCCTGGTGTGAAGGGAGATAAAGGTGAAAGTGGAGAGCAAGGTCCAGTAGGACCCAGAGGTTTACCAGGTTCCATGGTAAGCAAATTAGCCTGTTGCGTGTATTTAAAGGGAGCTAAGGAAGTAGATTACCTAGCTTCTCTCTTCATCATTATCCTGCTTGAAGTTGCTACAATGAAAAGGTGATTGCATGTGGTGCTATGTTTATAACAGTGATTCTCTTTGATTCTGCAGATTTTATTATTATCACCAGACTAAAACTAGTTTTCTGTTTGGAAGTCCCAGTTTGACAGAAATCATACAAGCTTTCTACTCAATGTATATCTTGCAGGGAGTTCCAGGTACTCATGGTCCACCTGGACCACCTGGTCTGCCAGGGTTTCAAGGTGTTGCTGGCCCACCAGGTCCCCCAGGTCCTCCTGGACCTCCAGGTGCTGATAGCAGTTATATCCCCAACACTATCACAGCAATAGATGGAAATGGATTGCCTGGTGCAATGGGACCCAGAGGACCACCTGGACCCTTCGGGCAAGTATGTACAGCTGTCATACATAAAACAGACACTTTCCGATTCATGTACATGTTATATCATACTGAAGTTCAGCAGCAGGTTCGCAATTTGTTCTGTGCCTTACACCCGGTACTAAAAGATAACCAGTACTTTCCACTGTGGAAAATTTTTTATTGTAACTTCAGTATGTGTTATTTCACTTAAATAACATTAAGTAACAGTAAATAAATTTAATTCAAAAGCATTTCTGCCTGATATAACTGTTTAGAGTAATAACTGCAACCAAAGATTAAGTGATTTCCTACTTCCATCACAATATTGCCATCTCTAAGAAAGCATTTTTTATGTAATTCATAGGTTACCCATACCCATAGTTGTTGAAAGTATTCTTTTCCTCTGCCAAAATTATTTTCTGACATTTGTTGCGTTTACATGTTTGCCATTTTTCTCCCCATTATTTGTTTCACCATCATTATCCCTGATATACAGAATTAATGGTACTAATCTTGTACTCCTGTGAAATTCCAGGTTCTCCTGGCAGCAAGCATGAAGATTACAGCCTTCTGGGATATTGTGCTGTAAAATCTCATAGAAGTTGATCAGCATTTCAGCAGTGCATACTGCCTCCATCATCAGGGTGATAACTGATTGTCTGATAATGGAGACAGTAGGCACCTTTGAAAAATCAGTCAACTACCATGAGACTACATGGTGCAACATCTCAGAAGGCTGCCATCTTCTTATACTCTTTCTCATAAAATATATTGTCATGTTAAAGGTCACTGCAGACTGCTTGATCTTCAAAGATTAATCAAAATAAAAAAATTACAAACACCGTTAAAATGAATGTTCATATGTTGCAGCCAGGTGAAAGAGGAGCAGCAGGAGAAAGAGGGCCTGAAGGAATACCAGGTAATATGGGAATTCCTGGTAAGGATGGAGCACCAGGACTGCCAGGTCCACCAGGACAGAGGGGACAGTCAGGAAATCATGGTCTTCCAGGCCCACCTGTAAGTTCAAAAACAGCAATTATAGTAACCAGTCTTTTAAGCACAGTATTGTTTCTTTAGTTTGCTAGAGCGTCCTCAGTCCTGTAAGTACAGCAGACTTTATAGCAACAAAGTATACCACCTCTAATGTGAGGCCTATAACATGGCATTTGTCAGAAATGTTTTACATAAGGAGGACATAAGGTAGTTTTCTTGAAAGATGGCAATAAAAATGCTGACTCTTAGGATGAGAAGTAATATACACCAAACTTTTTATTTAGTGGTGGGGATAGAATTTTCTGGGTGGGATGATAGAGTAAACAAATTAATTTAGGAGTATCGTTGTTTATTTACCAGGGCCGCAGCTTTACAGAATCTGAACTCAGGGACATATGTGCAGCTGTTCTTCGAGGTAAGAAATGATCTCACCTCTTTTTTTTAATTTTAGCCAGTTTGTTGTATATTACAGATTAGTTCTTTGAAAGCCAGATCATGCTTATATTTTTACCATAACTTATGAATGATTTAGTCAGTCATTGAACTCCTCTGAGAAGTTCCACAACAAATAAAATTGTATGAAATTTATTGTCTTATAAGAGATTTATAATATATTCATTTATGCAAGGATGACATATTGTTATAATGCCCAAATTATTGTAAATACTGGCTAATACACAGCTGACTAACACATTTTTCTTTTCTAACAGTAAAAAGTTCAAAAAGTTAAAAGAAACCTCCATTGGCAATGCTGTATTACTATGTGATGAATACTTTTGCTACTGAACATATAAGTGGTAGCTTCAGAAATTCCAGGACAGAAGTGAAACATTGATGTTATGGCAGATAGGATGCATGTTAAGGCATGCACATCCTCTAAATACAACAAAATTTTTCAGTTACCATTAAAGTAGAGGGCATGATAGATCCCACAAGAGAGCCTGATGCATAGAAAGTTTTAGAGTGGTGAAATTCTTCAGCTTGAGCAGCAATCTAATAAAACATTTTGCCAGCAATTTGTAAGAGAATAGTTATGAACAACTGTAGATTGCTGGCAGAACTGTAATTTGAAGGCAAATGTGTCTAATGACATTTTTGTGCTCCCGAATTCAAAATATGTCTCCTGTCCTGAAAATTTTTTAAGCTATCATATGTAACATGAAGTAAACTTGTAAACAAATAGTTTAAGTTGCATTTTTAATGTGTAGACCAGCTGAGTGAGTTGACAGCAACATTAGTGGGGCCCCCTGGTCCTCCTGGAAGAGGCAAGTCTGGTCGATCAGGGCCACCTGGACTTCAGGGATCTCCAGGTTTGATTTTATTTTAGCTCCTCCAGCACACCCTCCCAGGCAGTGCACCCACATCACCAACTGCTTACTCTTCATTGCTGCAGTTTACAATAATGAACATAGCCTTATTTGCTTGCTCCTTGCTGTCTGCACAGATCGTATGGAGGAATTAACGTCTGGCCTTCGCGGGGCCCCAGGGCCTCCTGGTATAAGCAGACATGGTAGAGCAGGGTATGCAGGGTCCCCAGGCATCCCAGGTACCTGACCCTTCCATAAAAATACCTATTACCCATATTAATAAAATCCTTTATACTTTATAAATGTTACATAATTTCATATATTACAGGGTGCATTATAAATAACTCTCTGGGTTTAATTAAATTCAAGTGAAACAACATGAGATTTATGTTCATATTAAAGGGATATGCAGTCAAGATTTTTGTTTTCATAGCATATTTTTGTGTGTCTGTTCTGTAAAATTAATCATAGGGATATGTGAAATACTTATTTGTTATTTAAGTGGGAAAAAACTGGCATGTAAATGCAAGTGAAATTAAATATTAAGAAAGCAATAGAAAACACCAAATACTTTATCCCCTATGTGAATATTATGTCTTGTGTTTTTAGATTTGACTAATATTTGACTACTACAACTTTCATATATATATATATATCCTATTTCTTACTAAATTTAATTAAAATATGGTGGTATTTTATGATGCACCCTGTTCATTTCAGTTTTTATAACTATGTATACTGTTTAAAATTTCTCTTCTCTTATATATAATTAGCAAATAGCATGGATAGTACATGACAGGTAGTAACATAGTTAACCCTGGAAATTATAATGAAAAAACAATTATAACTGGGCCTTGTTATAAATATCCTTTACCATGCTTTGCCATTTAAGTAACTGTATATCCAAATGAAGAGCTACCAACCTCAACAAAATGCCATAAACTGTAGATAACAATATAAGTTTTATACTTAATTTGCTTCTTTAAACTGGTAATTTAATGCAATTCATTAACATTAGTAGTAGAAGACAATTATAGTCAATCATTTGTATTCTGACCAATGCTTGGAACTTTATTATACATGTAATTACTAAATCCACAATTCACAACCCCAATGGTTGACATGGTATCTGTAAATTATTAACCCTTGTACGTTTTACTTCATTTTAGAATATCTTACTTCGTAACCTTTATCGTCTATGTGATGCAGCACAGTTGGCCATGCATTACACTAGCATACTACTAAACTATTAACTCTGGAGTTAAAGTCTAGCCAGCAACTTGATGATACAAGGAATTAAATCCATTATTCCCACAAGATAGAGTTTAAGAACCAGTTGTGTCTGCATCCCTTTTTAAATGTTGCACTTTAATTTATATGCTTAAACTTTCATTTCACATAAGTGACAGCAACTTAACTATAACTGACTAATTATGCAAGGATCTTATATCAGTGTGTTGTAAAGAAGAAGAAAATTATAAACTTCCTTTAACCAAAATAGTTGATAAAGTTTAGTAAGATCTATCTCTTTGACACCATTCAAATAACATTAAAGTAACTTAAAAAAAATACATTACAAATGTAGAATTCTTTACCAAAAAGAATGAATTTTTGTTTTTGATCATGCTATGATTTGCACTAGTTAAAGGATTCATGTGAGTTATGTCTTTGTGTAGGTGATCCTGGACCTCCAGGACTGCAAGGTGAGAGAGGCTTCACAGGGTTGCCAGGTGTCCCTGGACCTCCTGGTTCTTCTGGTGCACAAGGAGAACGGGGAGATAAGGGTGATAGAGGACCAGAAGGAATTGGCATTGAGGGTCCCATTGGACCACGAGGATTACCAGGTATATAGATCCACAGTAATGTAACTGGTATTATTCCTTTGTCTCTTAGTTAGTTTCTTTCCTTTTAGTTTTGCATCTAAAATTGTGTATGTATTTCTTATCTCCCTTATGTATGTTACAGTTTCTGCCCTTCTTATCATTCTTGATTTTATCACCCAAATAATATTTGAAGATGCATGCAAATTGTGAAACTTATTGTATTTAAGTTTACCAGATGTTGAGAAGGAAAAGCAAATAAGAAGCTTTCTCAAGACAATCAGTTTTATTAATTATACCTACTTTTGGAATGGGAATCATATGTGCTGTAGGTCAGCTTTATCCCACTGAGTTAGAATAATAATGGATGAACTTTCTCTATGAAAGCTGTACTAGGGAGTCCATATGCTTTTGTAGAGCAGAGTACAAGATATAACCATCTGAATTTGTTAAAAGTTATTGCATTAATATATTTTTATACAAGCTTGTGAGTCATAAATATATTTTCTGGTGAGTGAAGTTTGTCCTGCTGGTTAGTTTGTCTAACCACGAGTCACAAGTATATCATGGAACTTTTTATGAAATGACAAACATTGGACATGTTTTGAAAAATACAATATGTATATTGTCAGGTACACATCACTTCCTTTATCAGAATGTATATAGCATCTTTGTTAATGTAATTGTTTACTGTATATTGTGGGTGGAGACTTATAATGCAAATCAGGCTTACTTCCTGTAATAAATTCTTTGAATTTAAATCATATAAACTGATTCTTTGTATTTCATATTAGAATTGAAAACAATGGATAAATTCATGGTAAAACATTTTTATAGGACCTCCTGGACCAGATGGAATTGGGCTTCCAGGCAGAGAGGGGGAAAGAGGAGAGACTGGAAGACCAGGTAACTTATACATACTTACAAATCAGTGTTTTAGTTATGTGGTTTTTCTATATTTCATTAACATCTAGGAATATATACCAACTGCCATGAGATAAAGAACAAGGAAACTAAAAAGCAGAAGATAAGTAACAAATATGTTACAATGAAAATACAAGAATAAGATGGTTTCAGACAAGATGACTGGAACATTTTAAAATGACAGAAATATGCTTGCATTCAAAAAACTCTACAAATATCAACCAGAAAGAAGAGGCATAACTTGTCTATGGATGCCTTTATATTCCTGTATTCTCCCATGCCTGTCCATATATTAAATCTTTCCATCATATTCTCTTTTTTTATTAATTCATTCTTTAATCTTATTTATTCACTGATTTCTTAGAATTCCCATTGTTCTTTTCCAGTTACTTTCAATTTCATTGTTGTGTTAGATGCATTACATAGTTAAATTCTATAATGTTTGCAAACTGTGTGTTCAGAAATATAACTATTGTAAAAGTACCTGCTTAAAACATCACAGTGTAGACAATATTTTTAAATATTCTCATCATCAACTTTCCACATCTTAGGCACAATGGCCTGTTATGGTTTCAGACACTGTTTATGTGTTTATTTACAACAGTAATTCAACCTGTTTCAGCTCATTTTAGTATATGGTCACAATACCTATTTTTCAGCCTACATTATCTTTTCTTCCTTATAATTTATAATTCCAGCAAGTTTAAGAATTCTGTCATCATGTCCCACTCTCCCCTATATTAAATTATTTTACTGTTTTATAGTAAGAGCTGTAGTTAATGTCTAATATTTTAAGTTTTCTCATATTTAGGAGAGGGCAGCTAATCTCAGTAATCTCATTTTCTCATATATAGTATGGTGTGATAAGGTAATAAGTTCTGTTAGGTTTTGTATTACATATGATTTTCTTCCTCCAGGTCTACCTGGCCTTCGTGGGGCCCCAGGCCCCCAAGGAGCTCCTGGGTTCTGTGAATTCTGTAATTATGCCAGCACAAACTACCTGCAAGCTGTAGCTGCACGCTCTGGTGGCAACTCCAAGGGGCCATGATAGATTGAATATCAGCTTCCTAAATTTTAATGACTAGTAGGGGAGGTGCCATTAATGCTATATACAGTTGTGATTACAAAATTTGATGAAAATTCATTCAGAACAGAAAATGTACAATCTAGGCAAATTCTTTCTTATTGTAGGAACAGAGTAATTATCATATAATAAATCTATCATATGATCTGTATTTATAAATAAAATATCTAAGATTGTATAACAGGCCAATAAAATAATTATAGTTAGGTAATATAATATAACGTTCTGAAAAAAACTCATTTACAGGTTCTGGTTGATTTATGGTTATTTAATAATCTTATTTTTAACAAACTAAAATCTGACAATCAGTGAATTCAGGTATATTTATCGTTTATCATGATTTGATATATTATGTCAGCTCTCATTTTAAGCATACGTGTCAGTGAATGATTGTAGAAATTAAACAACTTTCTGACATGAAATCTAAGCATTACAAGACTTGCTTTATTGTTATTATAAATCAACAGAAATGTGAAACTCTCAGATTTTTACAGATGAAGGTACTGACATTTTTTCAAACTTGTCATCTTAATTCTTTACTGTGTACTGCTCTCTGGTCTTTCTCTTATATAGTCTGTTCTGCAGAAATTACTGAAGTTAACCATGTTGACAACCCACTGTGTATATGATGCACTAATGCACCTCTCTGAAAAGGTGTTCCCTAGTTTTCAACAAGAATTGGATATTTAAAACAGTGAGGGCATAAGTAAACAATCCCTTAAACAATGTGCTCATAACATAATCAAGTATTTTGTATAACAGAAATATAGATTGATGTGGTGCCATTTTAATATATGGAATAAAATGCAAAAAATTAGTGCTAGCAGTGAATAGATATCATGAAGAAGATATATCAGCTTTACTCTTCTGGGCATCACCATTTGCCATTGCACACTAAGCAATTTATGAGGAACTATTAAATATTACTACTTGTCAAAAACTAATCATTTGACAAGACTCAAGCATGTAACATACCAACTACATTGTATTCAGGATGAATATATTTAAGGGTATATTCATTACCATACACCAAGTCAGGTATGGGTACTACTTTACAGTGCTCAAGAATGGTTTCTACATAGTTTCAGTTATTAATTTATATGCTTTATATTTTGAATATCATTGGCTGATTTTTATTAACTATTAGAGATCATTAAGTAATTGTACTGACTTCTTGTGTCAAAGATACAGCCTGTAGCTTAAGTTAATATTTTGAAGAAATTTGTGTTCAGTCACATTTAAAATTTTAATTTTTGATACTATAACATCACAAAGTGTGCAAGTAATTAAAAGATAAAATACTATGTTTAAGACATGGTGTTAGTTCTTAGAGAATATGAGCATTATGTGTAATAAAGAGTTAATTTTCTGAATGCTGTTAAGGCACAACATTAAGCAAGAAATTACAAAATTGAACTAGGATGCTTCCTTGTTTTGTTTAAGCCTGGTAAATGATGGGGCAATTAATGAAAATCTGAAGAAAAGAGAGCCTAGTTGTTTATATTAAAATTCTAGTTTAGTTGCAATGTATAAAATTTTCCAAAATATTATTGGCATTAAATGTGAGTTGGACTTTGCATGAAATGAAATTATTTGTTGTACCAGTGTCATTTTGCAAATACATATTTCCAGATTGTCTGGTTCTGAATATAGGAACAATATACCATTACATGAATCATTTTATGTGACAGAACATCAACAGTAAATCAAATCTGGAGTGAATGTGCTGAAAGACAATAGGATATAACTTTCAACATCTTCAGGGAATGTGTATGTGCTAGTGTTGTGGAAAGTACTGTCAAAAATTACATTAAGAGAAAACTATTGTAATCCTCACGAATTATGTGACTTCTCAGTTATTTTGTATTGTACTTTATTATGCCCTCTCTGATGTAAAAAATAATAACAGTGACTGGTAATAGTATCGCTTACATAAATTATTACATGTAAGTTAAAAATAACATAAAGTGAACTGATCAACCATGAATATTGCTATGAAGTCACATAGATGTAAACCTACCCAAGGTTTTATTTTATCACTGCCACACTAATTATGTTACAGTTAATTATTGTTTAAATAACATTTATATTTCCTACTCTGTAGTCATTTGACTTTTTAAAAATTAATTTTCCTATAAGTATTTTATTAATGGTTTTGTGTGGATTTTAACCACATCATCACCAAACCTGTAAAGATATTTCATTTCATAATATAGAATAAGGTATGCAAACATGTGTTCCTAGAAAGAATACTGTATAAAGAACCTGATTGTTTTCATAACTTTTGTTATTTTTACATGCCATTTTAATTCAGCAAGTGCCATATCATTATGAAGGATGTACTTTGAGACATAAGGTAACAAAATCCACTGACTGGTATCTGGTTACTATTTTGTTTTACGCAGTGCAATGCAATTACTAATTTTCAATATGCATAAAATTCATGCATGACTAGTTGTTATGACTGATTCATGGCATAGTGTGAATATGAAAGATTAAAAGTTTGTACTGTGAAATGGAGATTTATATTATCACAAAAAGTGCTGTTATTTTCCTCTAAAACTTTTGTAAATGTATTTATTTTTGTAACACAAAAATACCAATATTTGCTACACAGAGAAAGTATTGTAGTATAAAAATAATTATCTTCTTCTTCCTGCTACATTCAAATTTAGGTCAGGCCTCAACTACTGTAGAGAATACAAGTAGTAGGACTCCTTGGATGAAGGATGAGTTCACTACAAATCCTCTGTGGTCATAAGATGTTATTTCAAATTAATCTTAAGCACAAACCATTTAATTGCGTTAATTGGTCAACATCTTCATGCTATTAAATTTTCTGCATCTGGCAAAGAGTACACATATATATATCCAAACATTTTTCTACTGACAATACAACAGTGTTGGAATCTGTTTGTCTAGCTCGCAGTATAATTATTAAAAAAATAATCATGTGTGAAATTCTTTCCCTTTTCCTTTACAGTGGTGACAGTTAAACTAAACAGTTTGTCTTCATTCAAGTTTAGTACCATAGTCATGGTCTTTGAAAAAGAAATTGGAACGTTTTGTCTTTATTGTTTTATAACATAAATGTAAACATTTAAATATTTTGTCCACCATGTACCTTCCCATATAATAATTTCATTCAAATACCAACAGATGTTGGTATATAAATAAAATTATTATACAAGTTAAAATGTTCCCAGCATGCAGTTACTTGAAAATACAGACTTGATAAAAAATATAATTATTTTAATGCATGAAACATAATTATTTAACAATAACACAGAAAAGTGTAAAGGCATGCCAGATATATATCTTTGTTTAATAGTATATATTACTAAAAGCTTTTTTTATGAAGCTGAAGTCTCCTATTTACTTACTCATCCTTAAGGGAACCTGAAAAATGTAATGAGAGGAAGGATGGAAACAACATGAATTAAAGCATTTCTTGATCATTTAAAATATTTTAGTTATGAACTCAGGTTTTATTGATGTTTATATAATTTTAGTAATCAATAATTCTTTGATAGAAATTTGTATTTTCTTTTTACATAGATTTCACATCATATTCCTATTTAGAAGATTCCACATTTGACCATTAGCTGGATCAGATTAAGATTTTTCTGCACATATCTTGGGTAGTCTTAATATCAGCATCTTGCTGACGTTTGAATTCTATCTTCAAACAACTATATTTTATATTGTTTTATGATGATACAGACAGCAGTTTGTGCAATGTCCTTTTGTAACAATAATAATGTAGGCTACGTGATCATTTCAGTTAGATCAGTTACGTAACAAAATTTTGGGTACAGTTTACAACATACAGAGAGTCTACATGCATTCTTAATGACTTCTCATCTGTTGTAGGTTTTCATGTTCATTTATTGCAGAAAGAAACAGGTAACAGCTTTACTTTGCAGTTATAAATTCTGCTGTTAATAAAATTATTGGCAAAAACAATCATTTCTGAAATCTTACGATTCTATGTAGACCAGTATGTTGGATTTTGTTGAAAGAACAATTGAGAATTGTGGGGAAAGCAAAACAGCAAACAATAAACATGAGACATTAGAGAAGAAACCAGATATATTATATGAATATAAATTATGAAAAATGTATGTTTGGAAAGAATGCTTTAGAACCAGATTTCAAAATTTAGTTATCTGTGTAAATCGGAGAGAGCATTCTGTATTTTAAAAGCTCCGCCAGGTGGCATACATTGTAATTTGGGAATTGTCAACATGTGTTTTAAAATGCTATGATTTTAGTAATAGCCGTAGAAGGCTTTAATAACAATTAACAGTAATATACAATACATTTTCTTACAGGGATTAAAATTAAATATGTTATCTACAGGTGGCTATTATGATTAGATTTAATTTCATTGCATCCAAATATTGAGATTGATTGGCATTTTGATTCATTCTGTTATATATTGATTTTTCATTCGTTATCTTTCTGAATTAAAGATATAGCGATAAAGATGTGAACCAATTGTCAGTATGCTTTGGTTGTAACTATATGATAAAGTATTAAAATAATGAATACGCGGAAGAATTGTCGCTTTGTGTGGTAGCCTTGCTCCAACGTGTTTACCCTCTCCACTTTGTTTTAGATATGGCGCCAATTATTTTCTAAAGCGTGCTGTCATCTGCTGGACTAAGAAGCTACTACATTCAAGTGCTGCACGGTTTGTTTATTGACTAGTGATTTTATGAGTATAAAAATGTGTTTTTTGCAAAGATATTGTTTGAAATTTGCAATATTCTGATCAGAGTGAAACAACGTAAGTATATACATGCCATACTTGATAGTGAGTATTGATGTATGACAACTGTTTTGTTTTTAGTACTTGGTTAATAAACCCTTATGGACCGAAACTGTTTAGGCTTTTGACAGTTGCGGCAATGTATTTTATTTTACTTTTTTCTAATTACATTTCTTATCTTAGAAGTTATTTACAGCATCGGTAGAAAGTAAAGACCGTTACTGCGTTGACTTGAATGAATATTGTTTTATAATTGGAAGTGTTCAAGATGGCCCTATAACCTTTTACAGTACCATAGGTTAGTTGTATACTCAAATAAAATAAAAATAACAAAAGTGGTAAAACCGTTTTGCGGTATAAATGAAAGTAAGTATCTCTCTATTCATTGTTATTGCATATTATGAAAACGATGTAGTGGAATATATTTGTACACTGGTGATGCATGTTTGTAGTATTAGGTTCAATGTTTATGCAACTTTAATATATCCTGGGTAAATATTTCTGGTATTGGAAACCAACTGGAAAGTTGTGTGAAATATTCCAAGTTATTTTTAATAGCCACTTCAAATTGTGTTTGTTAACGGATGTTGACAACACTCCATAATTTTAAATTCTACCAGTGTTTGAGGTGTTAGAATAGTGCCATTAATGTATGTCTTTTTTACAGTATATGTTATGGTATGAATTTGATTGGTTGTAACTTAGTATGGAATAGGAAGATTTGCTACTTATGACTATATTGCTGGAAAACTAGTCATAGCAATAACTATGTAATATACATAAAATTTTTCTTACGAATTTGGGATGATGGCTAGTTAGTGATCCTGATATCCATAGGATAAAGCATTTTTAAGAAAGTCTTCTGTCAGCTTTAACAGTTAGTAATGTCCAGTTCTATTAATATTGAAACATTTTTATTAATTATAGATTTATACAGAATTGTTGAAAGTTAATATTCAGTTGGTGACTTGCAAATAACATGAGACTTTAGGATGAAGCTGTAATAGGTCCTGCAGTAATAGGACTGATTATGGCTTGGGTTGCTTGGGTTCTAGATTCTTTGTAGAGGCATCATGATTTTCCTATTCAACACATTGTCTAATATGATTCTGAGATCTACCCACCCTCCTAATCATTGGATGCTTTGATTCTTCCCTGAGGAATGATTAGTTATGAAGCTAATTACTCACCATCTGAAATCTAGAATGTGTGGAGCTTCACCTCCATGCCCTCTGGCATGATGCTTATTTTTATGGGAAACTTACCAACAAGAAATATTTTTCATAAACACTGTGCAAGCATCTTGTTATTTTGTGTGTACATATGTGAGGTTGACAGACTTTGGACTTCTTACCTAGGAATTTAGTAAATAGTACAGTACACTACAAAATGCTGAAGTTAAGGAAACAGAGTTGTCTCTGTAGGTCTCAGGTTATCTTGTTAAGCATATAATATTTACTTAGGTATCTCCTGCAGATAAGTAACACAGTGATTCTAAAGAGGATGTGATTGCTTGAATGTTTATGGTGTTATACTGTAGAGTGCGGGAAACACTGGACCCTTTAATTCCATCTGTTCCATTTCACTGTTTAAGTTAAATGTGAAACAACTTGAAATAAAGGCTGACAGATCTTTTTTTCTAACTTTTTTAACTTGTTGAGAAAATGTAATCCTTATCAGTTGTTCATTTTACATGAAACTGAAACAAACTTTGGTCAATTTTTTTAAAAATATATCATTGGAAAAAAAATTGATAGACTACATGATACACACACACATACAAAAAGGGTTATTGTATTGAAAAGGTGTTAACAATTGTGAACATGTTAGTGAACATTTGTCTGATGCATTTCTCATTCAGGATTACCTGAACAGGGAGGTGCTTTATCACCAACACTTTCCATCATTGAATTAAGATACACCATTAGAATGATCCAAGAAAAGATAGTGGGATTTGAATTGAATGTGACACATCAACTTCTGGCCTGTGCTGATGACAGTGTACTGGGCAAAAATATAAATATCATAAAGAATTTACTTTACTTTGCACATACTTTAGAGGTTAATGAGTGTTACTTATTTTTGAGATATAAGGGTCTGAAATTTTGTCTCAACCTAAGAGAAAAATATATTTTAGTGTGTCTCAGAATGAAGTGCTGAGGAGAGTATTTGAATCTAATGTGATTGGAGGCTGGAGAAAATTGCACAATGATGAGTTTCATAAATTTACTCTTATCCAAATAATGATACCAAATACAGAGGTATAAGATAGATGGGCAAGTAGCATGTATGAAGGAAATGAGAAAAGCATAACAAAATTTTAGACAGAAAAGTGAATGGAAGAGAGCTCTTCAGAAACCTGTGGATAAATATTAACATGGATCTTGTAGAAATAGGTTGTGATCTGGATTCATCCTTAGGATATGACCCTGAAGTAGGCTCTTGTGAAGATGGTAATGGGCATTCAGATTCAACAAGATGTAGTGATTTATTGACTGTCTGAGCAAGTATTAGCATCTCAGAAAAGACTGTGCTCCAGGGGTTAGATGTCATAACATTTAATGGTGATAGTTATAATGTTTGTGTGTGTGAAACAGGAAGGGGTTAAAATTATGATGTTTTTATTGTCTCCAGTGATGTGTCCTTCATAATACAAAAAAGATGTTAATTAATGTTAGGTAGACATGCAAACAGAAGACAAATTCTTTTATTTTTATTTTTGCAAAAAGCAGTTAGTCCAAAAGTGATATAATGAGATATCTGTTAACATTGTTTCTCTTTTGAGGTTATTTTTATAATATTCCAAGTAACAGCTTATGTGTTTATGTATATTTTTATCTGCTTTTGCATGAAACTGTCTGAGAGGTAGCTGTCTCCTGAAGTAATGCAAGTTGAAACTAACTTCGAAAGATACTTTGTTGTTTAACCTTGTATCTCTGCATACCATGCCTGAAGTTACTGTATCAGACTATACAGAATAATTAACTAGATTCTAGTGGGCCATTGCCATACAGTGTAAATACATGTGACGTGCTGTTAGCAACATATTTCTTAACTTATTCATTAATAAACATTTTTCATGGTCAAGAAAAGTGGTAATTTATTTCTGCAGTTTAATATTCCACAGATTTGCTCTTAGTTTTCTGGAAAGGATGGTGAATATGAAGGTAAATTTAAAGTTTCCACTGTGTATACACATGATTCCATGAGGTATAGTTAGTACATGAATCCAAAACTTTACTAATTCTTAACCTTGGCTTAAGATAAAGGTCAGTGGTCAGTTTATTCTTCACCAACTTCACTGCCATAGAAAGAGGTTCTACTGCTTGTTGGATACAAGAATTAAAATACCCCAGGGCCATTCTAGGTGCTTTGAAGGCACAGAAACTTTCCCATGATAATGAATTATTAATTGCAAAGATTGTTTTAAAATTACTTCTTTATTGTCTGCATATAGGTTTATATCTAAGTAAGCCATAAAATTGCAACTTTTACCAGGAAGATTTCACGTGTACATCTTACATACAGTGTTTTATACAATATCAGACAAAAAGTTTGACAAGTACAGGCTTTTAAAAATTTGAAGGTAATTTTTTCTCACGCTTATTCCTGCCAAACTGTAGGTATCTGAGTGACTGTACTCATGTCAAGTTGAGGTCAAGGATATATCAAGGTCACGACAATATCAGACTAAGGGTTTGCTGAGTAGAAGTTTTTAAAATTGTCAAGGTGATTTCAATGACAATATTCATGTTATGTGGTTGTCAGGGATAGGTCAAGGTCATGTTAAGATCACTGCAATATCAACCCAACAGTTTTCCGAATAGAGGCCTTTAAAATGTCCATGGTCATTTCAAGGTCCTTTTTGTCACGCTTTTTTCTACTCAACTGCAGGTATTTGAATGACCATGCACGTGCCAAGTTGAGGTTATGGATATATCTAGGTCGTGTTAAGGTCACCACAATTTCAGACTAAGGGTTTGCCGAGTAGAGGCTTTTAAAAATTTCAAGGTCACCTCAGGGTCATTTTTCTCTAAAGCTTATTGATTCCGAACTGTAGGTCTCTGAATGGCTATAATCATGTGCAATTGGGTTAGGTCAAGGTTATGCCTAGTTCGCGACAATATCGGTTTAAGGGTTTGCGGAATAGAGGCCCAATTTCGAAGCCGATTAATGTAATCTGTTGTATTTAACGACGCAGTTGGTATCTCAGACTATATGATGTTGGATGATAGAATGATTAATGAATTGGGAAGGATGTGGAGGGAAGCTGTTGCGGCTTATTTAAGATACTGTGTCTTTTATTTTCCCGATGAACTGTGGAAACCTCTTTCAGTATGGCCGGTCGTCGGTCCGAAGTTTGAACCCCAACCGTTCCGAATACGAACCTCTCGGGTGAGACGTTAGTTTTGTAATTATAATTGTATGCTTAGATTTGTAAGCGTATGAGATGAGCGGGACATGTATCATACCGAGACAGCTTAGCACTATTCCGGGAGATAATGAAACGTCGGCAACATTCGATGCCATAACCCAAAAAGAGGATCAGAATTAATAATGAAATTATAATATTTTATTAAAGTCTATTATTTGAATAGGTTCCATTTTAATATATTTCTATTTGTTGTTTAACTTTAGCGAGAATAGAATATGTGCAATGGGCCTGTAATATATATATATCTCCTTTTGAATGGTTCTACCAGCAGTGGATTCGTACCTGCACGAAATTTGCATCTAGACCAATGAGAAATTTAGAATTTCAAAAAACGCACGAATGTAACACCCCATCCCACTCGTTATGGTATAATATGCATTGTATTACGTTTGCCACATCTTCGTGGATAGATTCATCGTGTGATTTTGGAGTTGTAGCCAGTTAGTCGACGTGGGAAGTGGGACTGTTATTCTCAGCAAGAAGTTTGGTGGGTCCAGTTGAATGAGCTCATCGGATTACTTCATTGTGGTCATATCGTCTTCTCTGTGGACAATGGCCTGTCTCGGGACGCTAATACATGCTGTTATGTGCACTATTAATGGTCACTGGAGTTCTGTAACTTGTTTCACCTCCATAAAATTATTTCTTGTTGTCGCAAAAGTGATACAAGCTGTTTTGTTGTGAGATCGCAGAGGCGTTTCAAATTTGTGAAAGTATCAGCAGACCTTTTGGTGCCATACAACAGTAAGACAATGTATCAGTTTTTTTTAAATAGATACGTTCTTCAGTTTTTGAAGTAGTAGGCCTGTTAGCTTTTCTGTTACTGAAAACCGCGTTGTTGTTTTTTATTTGTACCGGATTTTTTCTTTATTTTTCCCCGCAATTCAAAATGCCCTGGAATTTTACGCTGTACCCGGGTGACTTCAAGTGAGCTTCGTATTGGACGAATTGCCACTGGAACAAGTTTTACTACGTGTTCTTAGGACTATAATCAGCGTCTGTGAATTGTGTTCCGAGTGTAAAAGTGGCTTTACCACAGTCATGTTCAAGCGGATTCGTCTTGTCGGTGTTCTTGGTAAGCCAATCCCACCTCACTTTCGGCCCTGCCTCGTGTCTTTCGACCCGCATTGCGCACACATCTATCCTTAAACGTCGTACTTTCTGTGTGTGGCGTGGCAACCAACGACGAGATAATACTTTTTCCTCATAGATAGAGAGTGGAGTGCTGATACCGGTGACCGCTCCAGCCCAGTCCATCGATGTCCGCAATTTCTTTGTTTACCAGTGACTGCAATCTAATGCATCATAGCGAGTGGTTTGCAGCCTTTAGGCCGTTTCTAGCATCCTAGTCACCTAGAATTCTAACTAACTGAATTCTTGAAGCTAATTCTTCTTGAAAAGTTAATAGGCGCTTACCTTGATAAATTTCCCGTGTACGTAGCGCTTACGGAGGAGATGAAAAATGCGCACAAAATTTTGGGTGGAAAACCTGAAAGGAAGAGATTACTCCGAAGACCCAGGCGAAGGAGGGAGGATGATGTCAAGTTGGATCTGAGGGAAATGGATTTTAAGGGCGTGGAAAGGAATCATTTTGTGCAGGATATGAACCAGGGACCGGTTCTTGTGAACACGGTCTGAGTCTTCGGGTTGAATTTCTTGTTTGGAAGCTGTGTGGATGGTGTAATTTGTCTGGTCTGTGGAAATTCATATTCTGTAGAGGAAGATATTTGAGAAATGTAATCCCCAATCAATAAATTATGCCTGGTTGCTGATTTTATTTAGCGGCGAAGTAACAGACTATCACGGGCAGCGGAATTATAAGAAGTAAGTGTATTCAGTGCAGCTGCGTAACTTGGAGTAACCAGGTGTAGATCGTCTGTACGAAAAGGAGAGTAAGGAATGTTTTTGACCTTTTCGTCTGTTTAATCTCTATCATTCGTAGACACTAATCGATTCTTTGACCTGCGAGTTTCAGAAAGCTTAGGTTAGGGAGGGTGAAGACATTTTAAAACGGTCAGCGAGAAAGACATACAGATTTTGTCTGAGCAACGTGGTGTAATATTGAACCCGTTGGTTTACACCCATCTTGTATTCAAGGTACCCACACCCATCTGCTTCTCGTCTCTCCCCTCTCTGCTCAGTACCACATCCACGTGTATTGATTCATCTCCCGTCGCTCTACGTTTACCTCCGTCTCTTTCTGTCCTAGGTGCTTTCCTTCTTCTCAACATGTTTTACATAGTCCGACCTGACGGGATACTTTTCCAACTTCTATCCTGCTGTTAACACTTCTTAAATTCATTGTGATGTAAATACAACAAATAGTGTTGCAAGCCTGTCTTGCCTGTCGTTAGAATATTAAAACTTGTATGTTCCAGCATTTCTTTTCAGCGTTTTATTCTCGAATATTTTGTTCTCCTGTTACTAATCGCAGTATCTATATCGAATTTTTCACCATCGTGAGAACCTCATATCTCATACAGAATCTTACTGTGATTATGGCGAAGGGTAAGATTATTGGTGGTGGTTGAAACATACACACATCCGGGCTGTCTCTGGATTTGAACCCTTTGGTTTCTCGTCATTCTCAAGTATGTGGCTGCATATTGAGGTCGGCGATAGGCTATATGGAATTTTGCTAAGACTCAAATGAGTGTCGCTCTACGATAGTGGCGTATTAAAGTACGTTTTCCACTGCCAAATAGGTTTTAAACGAATTGTAGTTGGATTTAAGCTTAGTTCTCGGTTCACCCATCACATCACAATTTTTTGGTTGGTTTGTAGGTTGTTTAGAGACGCTTTTAAACTGTGCGAATTTTTTAGCGTTGACTCATTCTAGGATTATTATGTATAGTGAAGTGGAAACAATGGGCAGGGAACGATATTGTCTGTCTGAGGTGCTACCTTGTTATTTGCTTGGAGAACTGAGGAAGACTACGGAAATCATAGATTATACTTTGATGGATATTTGTAGGAGTCTTTAACATTTTCTCGCAAATACACGTCAGAAGAGCTGTTGTCGCTTGAGCTACCTTTGCAGTAATGGTGCAGTAGGCGTACCATTAAAACACTCTGGTCTAATTAGAGAGTTGGGGAGCCGAGAATTGTGCACATAATTGTTATTGGTAAGTCTGAAGAGAAGAGATCACTTTGAAGACCTAGGCGAATCTTGGATCTTTGAGAAATAGGGTCGGAGGATATGGGGTGGATTCATCTGACTCGGGATATGGAATGGTCGCTGTTGTGAACATGGTAATGAGCCTTCAGTTTTCGTAAAAGATGGGAGTTTCTTGTCTAGCTGAGCGTCCTGTCAGATTCAATAGAAACAAAAGGGATTTCCAAAATAATTGTATAGTTAATATTACAGTTTTAGGTAGAGACAAATCGCACAACTTTATAAAATAATTAAATTCTTTCAAAAATGGAAGACGTTGGACAACTGGCTATTGTTTGATCCCGAACGTTTTAACAGAAGTTCGTGGTTGTGATGAAATTTTAGTTTTTGTATTTATTTTGAGGGCACATGTGCGCGTGGGGATCATCCAAAAAGTGTAATATCCCTAACTGCTGGCTTAATCTATGTGTATTACAGATTAGGTATAGTGATGCTTGCTTTAGTGCTGTAACAACAGAAACGTTAATATGGGCTTACGTTTGTGTGGTCCTACGACATGATGCTCTCCGTTTTCAAGCGGACTGCTGGTTCGTTATACCTGTCCGCACATCGCGTATGCTGAAGAAGTTGCCGCGTAATCACGGCGAAATTGTATCTTTTATTTTACTACGTTTCACGATTGGTTTTGATATCTGACGTCTTAGTTACGAAGCCTATCTGTCGCGCCCTTTCCATTTTACTGTACGAAATTCTCTCATTTCGTTCGATCTTTGTAGCTACGATACGTCTTTGGACAAACCGCATGGTTACCTGGGGAATCCCCAGCCATCCAAGCAACTCTGACGTCACTGTCGCCTTTCGTAAAGGTCAAATTCTGGCGAAAGCGTTAGCATTGTTACGCTTTTCTCGTATTTATCATTTGGTTTTCTTTATTTTTTAATTTTAGTACATTGTTGTGGGTTATGAGAATTTTACTACTGAAACTAAAAATAATATAATTCTGTAATTCTGCACATTCTTATTTCACAGGAATTGAAGACCTGCACCACAGAACTTGGCCAGCTCTGGGGATTTTGTCATGGGAACAAATTAAATTGGAATTTCCCGTCGTAACTCGGTAAGTTTGGTAAAAACGCGCCAATCTCATTTAATTGTAGATTCAGGTTTTATGCCAATTGTTATTTAGTGAAATGAATGACAGTTATGCAGCTACTTATAGAACTACTGATATGTCTTAAAATTTCTCGGTCAATGTATTTCATGTTTAAGAAATGTTATACGTTTATACCGTATTTTCTAGCGTTCTTCTGTGTGGCTTCCTCGGCTCTTTATATTCGTACATTGTAATTATTTGCCTTTTAACACCAGTCTCTCAGTACGAGTAAATATGAGACGGTAAAATGTACGTTTGTACAGTAGACGTACAGTACTTCAGTCAGAACCGAAGAATGACATTTCCAGCTAATTAAAGCTCGAGTGATAATTGGCTTATCGGTTGTTAACGTCAGACTCATCACATAATGTATAGCATATTGCTTACATGGTAGTTAAAGATATGTAATTAATACTTGCATGTAGGTCATGTTGTTGAACTTATCATTTCTGTCTAGCTGTATAGTGAAGTATTGCCATCAAGTAGATAAGGGAGTTCTGTTCTTCTACAGTAAAAAGGTCCACTGTATGTTGTGGGATGTGAGAGAGGTCCTCAAATATGGGATTGTTAACTGAATCAGTTATAAAGGCTTCTTAGCGTAACTAGTATTATTGTTTATATATATATATTTATATATAAAACTTAAGCTGAGATTTAAGGACTTGAGACTGTACAGAGGGTCGATGATGCTAATACACGCGCATGTACTATGAATTTTGCAAGAATATTCTGCTGTTATAACTGCAGTTACAAAGTCTGCTTACTGCATGTCCTCGTGGTCCATTTGTGGGAGCTCTGGTCTGCCCCAAAACCGCTCGATAGAGGAACATCTGCGTGGGGTTTGCCTTCTCACGGCCAACCGACCAAAGAAGACGTCAAGAACGCTTTAATGCAAATTTCCTTTCAGATCGTAAGATTGCCGAAGACCCACACACCAACCACCCTGTCTACTTCTCGTTCCTGTCTCTTTCGCTGACACTCGACTCCTTATTCCTTTGTTTAGTTTAATTTGTGTCATTCAGTGCGTGGTTAATCGATAAAAAATTTGCCCCAGTTGAGGGAGAGCGCGAAAGTTCACGCACGTCGTCTGTGGGAGATTTTCAGAATACTGAAGAGATGGGTGGAAAATGTAGAAAATTGTCGGAGAACCAATAACATACGTATAAACAACGTCCACCCCGTAGTCAGTCACTATGTCAGAATGATTATATTTAGTTTTTGTTTATTGCTGTGATTCTCTTTATGTCCATTATTTTTTAATGTGCCACTGACCTTAGGAATGTCGTTTATATGATTTAAAAATCAGTTTAAATTAAATATTAGTTTAAAATATATTTTCTACAACACTTGCTGCTGGAGGTTTTGTGAATACTCCACCCTTCTCTGGAGTTGGTAAAAAGGAGTGTGTGCGAATTTGCCTGTATCATTTTCCTTTACACAAATGTTTCTGATAATTTCGTTTCCTGGGGCCACTCACCCTCCCTCATTTCTTCACCCCTCTGATAGATGGAAAGGGGTTGAACAAAGCAGCGCATTCATATTACATTACCATAGAAAAAACATTACTTCTCATTCAGCAGTGAGGGAGTAAGGTTTAGGTTTTACGGCTGAATTAGAACGTTTGTCCTGTAAAAACCACTTAATGAAAGCAGGGCGTGATGTAATTTCGTGACTGAAAAAAAAATACCCATAATTTCTTTCATAACGAATTTGCTTATATGAATGATTTCCATGAATCTGCAAATGTTTACGCAGCTCTGACTGTAGTGTTGATTGATAATGATCATCGAATTAGTACATAAATGGTGGCGGGAATTTGCATATAACCTTTATGCTCGTTTTACCGACATTGGGCTCGTTATTTACTCTCGTAAGCCGTAAAAATGGTATACTGGACGTAAAATTCTGTTCTTTGACCATCTCAAAAGCTCAGTAAGCTAATCCGTCAGTTATATTGCATTTTGTTGCTTGAATATAAAATTTACTACACAAGGTTTGTATCAATGGAAGTCTGTATAGTTGGGGTTCCGCCCGGAGCTGCTCCGTAATTTAACGAGACCTCCTAATTTACATAAATTTCACGTCTCGGTTTTGCGTGCATGTATTTATCTGAATGCCTTCTGTAGTCTAAATGTCAACGTAATTGGTTCTTACGCAGTTGTTAATGTTGTTATTGAACAGGCATGCCCTTAACTGCTTATTAACCTTCCAGTATAAATTAGACTGATTCATAAAACAGTTTAATAGACTCTTCCAAGGGTTTAAAACAGATGCGAACTGAGATTGTGTTGACATCTTTCATTACATATCATTAACTGGCCTGCCACGTGTTTAACGCCTTCATAATACATAGTTGTATTCTTTGGAGCAACACGAGTGGGATGGTGAACAAATATTTTTCCAAACTCTTAGCCAATTTAGTAGTGACTGGGCTGCGTGTTGGGTTCCATTCCCGGCAGGGTAGTTTTTCTTTTTTGCCACAACGTCGACAGTGACTCTAGGGCTCACCTAATCTCCTATGCAGTGATACCAGGGTTCTTTTCTCAGGGGTAAAGTGGTCAGAGCATTCAGCTGACCACTCATCTCCATCTAGTGTCAAGGCTAAGAGTGCATGGAAGTATACCTGTACTTGATGTTAAAGAAACCAAGGGCACAAGAAATACTTATTATTATAAGTCCTTTAGTCTGTTATTAATAATACCTTAATAGGACACAACTACATTTTGCATTCTTCAATTTAATATTCTTCATTCTCTCTTCTACTCCCTGTTAAGTACTCTGTAATCTATACACTTGGCCAAGAAAATAAGACTGAAATGTTTAATCATTTATTTTTTATTGACATAACTAATCAATGGATGAGGTGTATGCATGGTTTATAAAGAAAACTATAATAGATAACCAAGAATATGTCTCTCTACAAACTACAGGACACAATAATTTCATTATTTGAAGATTTACTTTTGTATTTATTTAAAATATTCTGCATTTCTATGGAAGACTATGCATGTTGGATTGGTTAGTATTTGTCTGACTTATATTCTAGTGGTATCGAATTTGAATATCAACCAGGATAATTTCTTATAAAATGTAAGGATAACTTCCTTCCATATTTTCTCATTGTAATTATTGCAGCAGAGTTACAAACTAATTTTCATTACACACTTTCAATAAGTTTTGGCATTCTTATTCTGATTTAATGTGTTCTGTTGAGCAGAGGTTGGCAGGCATGGCCACAGAAGACGGCACAGGCCGTGCATCCTCGGATCATAGGCTCCAGCTACTCCAAGAGATGCGAGGTCAGAACTTTGACATGATAAGATTTGCTTCTTATCGCACAGCTTGCAAACTGCGATTTGTGCAGAAGAAAGTCAATCGTAAGTTAAAAAACACTCATTGGAATATTTAACATGTGTCTGTTGTGGGAAGCTGTCCTTTTTTTTTTGTATTCTTCCTTCTCTCCTGCTCTTTTATCCAATCCGATTGCTTGTATTCTTTAATTACCACGGATTTCTTTATTACCCTGTGTTCCCTGGCTGTATTTCGCTGGAATCTCTATTTAGTATTAGTGCCAAACTGAAAGTAACAATTGCGAGTCACTTTAGATTAATTTGTTATTAAAATATTTTCTCCTTTTTTTTTTGGGGGGGGGGGGGGGGAAATGTTAATCCTTGCATGTCTGGAGCATGCAGGAATACTTCACATATTTGATTTTTTATTCTGTTTTGAATCCTGTGCAAATCACTGCCATATTCTGTATCTGTTTTTATATGTGGGGGTTAATTTCTCCCTTCCCTTCCCTAAATGGGTTTCTGTAAACATAAAGATTCGCTAGAAACTGTAATCTTTACATTTATCATTAATTTTAAATTCTCTGATCTGTTATTGCATTGGTCGTGGAGAGCATTAGCACTGAAGCCTTGACATACATCCATTTATTTTATGTTGCTAGACCAGGTATCTCTGACTATGCAGATATGTTGATGCACCCTTCTGGCACGATGGTTTCAATATGATAGGGTGATACTGAGGATTTCAAGTAAAAATATGCATTATAAACATTCTAAACTCTGTTAGAATAAATTCTACATTGAGAGATTTACTTACCCCTGGTGCTTTAATTTTGTATTCTGAAATGAACATGACCTTCATTGAACCCTTTCCATTTGCTTTAAATAAATTGCTCTCATGATGTAAGCCTATCTGCATATGTGACGTAAATCATAAGTGATAAAACATTTGATAATGAAGTGACAGGGTCAGATGAGGTATTTTATATATCTTATTTGATTTTTTGTTTTCTAGTCCATGCTGTGGATATTTGGAATGTGATTGAAGCTTTCCGAGAAAATGGACTGAACACGCTGGAACCTCAAACAGAGGTGAATGTTTCCCGACTGGAGACTCTGGTGTCCAGTTTATACCATAACCTCAATAAGAGACTTCCAGTGGCTCAGCAGGTTCATGTGGAGTCCTGTTCAGGCCTCTTGCTCAATTGGCTACTGGCAGCTTATTCTGTGTGAGTGATTCAGTGTATCACTGAAGTCGGTAATATGTAGCCATGGGTGTTACTTGTCAGCTTCCCAAATTGAAGTGAATTTTTTTAACCCTCTCAGTGTTGACTTAAGAAGGGTTGTCAGACGTTCCGCATAAGCAAGAATGTCTCTTATTTCAATGTTTTGTCCCATTGCGTATATAATTGTCCCATATTTGACTAACACGTTGGCTTGAAAAGTAATAAAATGTTGTTAACTCTGTCACTATTGTGAGCAGAACAGTTCTGTTAGATTATAATGTGCTGTGATTGATCTGTGAATTGGTGTATTGATTTACTTTAATTTAATCATGACAGGGGGCTTACTATTACAGGCTTTTAAATAAATATTTTGTTTTGCCATCTCAGATTTAATCACAATATAGAATACAGTTCAAGAGTTGAACCAAACACCCACAAGACATGCATATACAATGCCCAAAAAGTAAAATCATTACTATTTGTAATCTCATACGTACTAAATACAATATAGAATTATAGTGTCTTTACTACAGGAATCAAGCACAGTTTATATGATGTAATTAATAATGTATTTTATCTGTTTTTATAGGGAAAATGTGGGTAAAATCCGAGTATTTTCTATCAAAGTTGCATTAGCTACAATGTGTGCAGGGAAGCTCATGGATAAACTAAGGTGTAAGTACAGTTTTGCTTAATCATTCACAGCAGAAAGATATACTGGCTTCTTCTTCTTGGTATTCAAGCATTGGAAGTGCATTTATAAAAAATCCACTACTTTTTCTTTCTGACTCTCTTTGTTTATCCATCTTTCCTTCTTCCCTTCCTCCTTTCTTATTCTGTTTTTAACTATTTTAATAGGCCACAAAATACTCCAATGTAAGGATTTGTTGCTGCTGCTTGGTGCTGTCATCACACATCAAAATGCACATAGTAAAAAATAAGAAGTTTTCTGGGGTCTTAAATTTTATTGCTGCAGTACCACATCATGTGTTTTTGATTAAATTTAAAATTACTAGCATAATAGAGCATTTTATGTGTGTTACACTTCTACGACCAATCTTATTTGTGTAAATTGTGCAATTATCATTATAGGTTTTAAACAATGTGGAATGATATTTGTCCTTTATCATACAAAAATAGGGGTTTAAAATCACAACACTTTCAGCCAGACTAATTCTGGGATTTAATGGTTTTGGTAGTATTCTTCTGAGACACAGCCAGTTGGACCACATGTAGGATGTGAAGCACACCCAATTAAGGTTAATTTTAAAGCTTTAGAGTCTAATGGAAATTCCTAGTCAAAAAATTGTGTCACTATCTCTTCATTAAGAATATTGTATTAATTTTTTTTATTAATTTCTGCAGTAGCATATTTATCAGTGACTGGGCAGTGTAATGCATGTATGGCCTTGGATCCCTCAAAAACAGATTGTGAGTGTAAATCCATTGAGGGCATAGATGCATGTTCATGATTTTCTCTGTTGCTTGTGTTATTTCTTGTTATAGTAATGTCAGTTTCCAAATCCAAGGCGTATTACTCCAACAGCTAAGGATATGCTTGTTATAGTAATGTCAGTTTCCAAATTCAAGGCGTATTACTACAACAGCTAAGGATGTGTATAGATTTGAGGTTTTCACAGCGGCGAGTATGAAGATTTCTGTCTTCTGGGTTGTTGCCCTGTGTAGTCTGGTCAATGTTAACCAACATTTCAGAGGCAGTTATGACCTCTGAAACGGTTAACATCGACCAGACTACACAGTGCAACAACCCAGAAGACAGAAATCTTTATATGTATTATAGTTTCAGTATTGATTCTGAGGGCCCAGTAACCTAATCCATTAAGTTTAAGAAGTGTTATGTTTGTTGTTGCTGATTTGTGCTTATTGATGAATGTCTACAGATATATTCTCTCAGATATCTGATGGGAATGGTCACATGGTTGTGTGGAGGTTTGCTGAATATCTCCAAGAGGTATTAGCACTGCCTGCAGCAGTATATGAATCACCGTCATTCAGTTATACGGAAGGCCTTGCCACATCTATATTTCCAGGGGTATGTTAATAACTTATTTTCTCTTAGTGTCAAGCCTAGTATTATACGCTCTGTAGGGATTTTTTCATAAAGATTTAATAAAACAAGTGTAGTAATAGGTTATTTCAAGACATTGTGGTTGTATTGAAATTTTTGTGTGATTTTTCAGTGGATTGCTAAACTGGCTCAAGTTTGTATTTACAATTTACATTTTTTATGTGCTCAATGTCTGCAGCTTTGTTCATATCAGAATTATAGTTTCTTTAAATTAGGACCTAATTATGACTCTGTACACATTCACAGAGAGAGAGAGAGAGAAGTTGTCTTCCATATGTTTTGTGCACACTTTGAATATTATCAGTGAGCCTAAAATTACTGTTTTTTTGAGGAAGTTCCCAGCATGACAGCTGTTGTCTACAGTCTGTGTCTCTATTGGACCTTGTAGTGGTGATGAGTATTTGAGCATATCTAAGTTATCCAATTTATTATTACTTTCTGTGTAAACTGACAGTATATTCTGTAGCATGTTGTTATGTAGGGTGGGAAGGTGACAGTCAATGACTTCATGGATACAATGATGTCAGATCCTGGGCCACCTTGCTTGGTATGGCTCCCGCTGTTACATCGCCTTGCCAGTGTAGAAACTGGTAAGTTATCCTTCATAATTTAAACTAGTTATTTTACTCTGAGGGAAGAATGTGGAGTGAAGGTATGTTAAAATTGTGGGTATTAGAGAATGAAGCCAAACATCAAGTGGTTAACACTACTTCGTGTTTGGGAGATCCCTCTTTCGAACATCTGTTCACAGGCCAGCTATCTTGGTTTTCCCTAGCAAAGTGGATACTTGGAAGAACATAAGCTAACAAGAGCATAATATAAAATTGAACTTAGGGAAATGGTGTGCGAATTGGATTGAAATGATGAGGGTGTATTTATTGGCTGTTATTAGCATTAGAGATGTTGAACCTTAAAGAAATGTTTGTCTGTGACAAGTGCTCATCGAGTGACAAACCAGCTGAAATTACAGCAATACTGATTTCAAGTAGCGCATCATCTGCTACAATGGGATATGTCTGCGTGAATCTAATATTGCCATTGCATTTTGTAGTGAAGGGGTTCATACACTGTAGTCAAGGTTACTTTTTAAATGGATCATACTGTAGTAAGCATTTAATGTACTTGCATGACTGTGTGTAGCAGTGTTCTTAACTTAGGTACTCTGTAAATCTATATTACAACTAAAAGAGTATGAGCTATTGACCAGTGAATACAAGAGATAACTGAAATTTAGTCATATCTATGTAAATATTTTAAGGAATGGACGTGCTGCATGAATATAAGTTAATGACAACATCTGTTCATATTTCAGTTGTTCATCCAATGGCCTGTGATGCATGCCAGAAGGAGGGTTTCTCAGGTTTTCGATACAGATGCCAGAAGTGTCATAGTTATCAGCTATGTCAAGACTGCTTCTGGCGTGGTCGTGTTTCTGGTCCACATACAAATGAACATGAAGTCAAGGAGTACACAACTTATGTGAGTTACTTGATATGATCACAGTTTTGTTTACCATGCTGTGTTTGTAATTTTGTGTTTTGTTTCTGAAATGAATTTTACCTGAAATGTAAGAGGTGAAGTACTGCGTCTGTTTGCATCTGAGCTCTGTCTCCTGTCAGTTATGATAATTTGTAGAGTCAGTTCTAGCATTTGTGTAATTAATTGATTTTGTTTTTAAATAGTATATTTCCAATATCAGTTGATACAGCACATCTAATTTGTTGAAATAATGCAAGATTATATTAAATGCAAGTTCTTTTTTGTGTTGTATCATATGGTGAAATAACATTATTTTTAAGTCTTAGACTATTGCAGTTTGTTTATGAAATTTTAGACTTCTGAATGTATTGCTCTATTTAAGAAGTGTTCTGTGGTATGTGAATATGTTGATGGTAATTCGATAGCATCAGACAGTGAGTTGATTAACATCTGACATAGAAAAGATAAAATATATTTACTGAGCTAACAGTTGCAATGGGAGACTGCATGTGCTTGAACGGCTATCATCAGTGCAGTAAATGTGTTAAAGGAGTATAAAAAATAACTTTTTTTGCTTGTAGAAATCTCCAAGTAAGCAGATTGGTCACTCCTTGCGCAAATCATTCCGCTGTGTGCCTGAGAAGGGTAAGACAAATATCCCACGATTCCCCGAAGAGCCAGAGAAAACGCTCAATCTCTCCCATATAGTGTAAGTTGGCGCATGTGTTACATCATATAAAGAAGAATAATCATGCAAAGTTTAGATATCGTGTATTTTTTAAAGCCTGTGATAGCGTAAAATCTGGTTTCAGAAAGCCAATCTTGCATGCTCAAGTTTACAAATATTGTTTATTTTTATTTGTGAATTCTTTATTTTGTGTTTTAGTCCTCCATCTCCATTGCCGTCCCATAACGGTTTTCCCGAGAGTTCCTTTGCTTCACCGTTTGATGGAGGCTCTATGGATAGCCGTTCTACAGGCAGAAGGTAAGTTATTGTTATCACACATTAGGCCTGCAAGTACTGTTTTCATTGTTTTTCCTAGTGCTTTATCATATTTGGTTATATTTATAAGCCAATTTGTATTCCTTTCATTGTTCATTCTTTCTAAATTCGGTATCTTTTTATTTGTGTAACATTCTGTTTTTCCATGCATTAAAGCTGTTTTCATTTCTTCCCAATATTTGTATTGTTTATTTTATTCAACTTCAGAAAGTGCAGATATAAATATTCTAGACGTGATTCAAGTTTGTTGTATTTTTTAATTAAAATATGTATATTACATGCTTAAATGTGACATGGTTTTGAAAAGTGGTGTTTGTCGATGTTACAGTGGCATGTGTTCAAGCAGTCCAGGGCGATACACGTCGAGTCTTGAATCTACTCGTCTGGATGATGAGCACCGACTGATTGCAAGATACGCTGCTCGTCTTGCTGCTGAAGCCAGGACAGTGGTGAGTGAGAACACAACACAAGGACATTTGAAGAGCATGAGTGATTTATTTTAGAGAAATAATTAAAACAACTCTTTTCTAAAATTCTATACTTTAAACTTTCAGGTAATGCAGATTAATTTTATTTCTTTATTTGATTTAGCTGTAACTTCCAATATAATTTGAATTTCAGTATGTTTGACATTTATTGACAGTCCTCTCTGTTTTAGACTTTTAACTATAAAGTTTAGAGTTACAGAGTATGAAAGAGCTTGCAGACTGCTTCCTAAAAACTGAATAACAAGAACAGATAGTACCTTAAAGAGGTGACAACTTCCTCCCAAATTCCCTAGATTGTTATCCATAATCATCCTACTCATTGACTTCTATATAATGTCCAAAGTTGATACATTTTTAAGTTACTAAATGAATATCAACAAATTCTGCCAAATGTGATCAATTTTAAAATAGTAAATTTAGATATTAGATGTTAATAAGTTGCCAGAGCATTTTATAATTATTTATTTACAATCTGTTGGATACAAATGCCTGCTGCATTAACATTTGTTTGTTTTATTGTTATTATTTTTTTTATTATTCTTGCTTGTTTTGTTTTATTTCTGTTTATGTAGGTGCAACCTCAAGTACAAAGGACAGCGCCAGTACCACATGTAGTAGTAGGTATCAGCCGTACTTATTCATTAATATGGATTGATCATAAAGTTCCATGAAGCATGACAGCTAAAATTTTCTTTTTAAACTTATTTTAATTTTTCCAGTGTTATCCATAACAGAATGTGGAACTTTATGGCTCCTGAAACAATGAATGGTGAAGTTAAGCAGGTCATTACTGCTTTCCTCCTCAGCTACAGTGGGCTGCCTAAAAACATTTAGCACTTGTATGCTATACCTGCGAGTCACTCTACTACAGTCTGTAACATCAGGAACCATATGTTGGCAGTAGTTATCAATTATAGGGATTCCCTTATCGCTGTTATGGCTATACTGTACTTTTTACTTCTTTTATAGTAGAGGGTATTATGTGTTACTGTAACGTATATGTTTGAAATTAGTTTAGTGATCATTACAAGAAAGTGAAAAGTCTCTTTCAAATTTTAATAAGGCCACTGACTTTCAAGCAACATTTTGTGAACCGAATGCTCATAAATGGAAGAATGGATGTATTTTAAACAGAGGCAGGTGTTTCATTTGAATTTGTTGCATATCAGGGCCGTGCTCCATCAGAAGGCAGCTTGAGCCTGGATACATCACGTGCACAGAGGGAGCTCATCAGTCAATTGGAGGCAAAGAACCGGGAGATAATGCGCGAGATAGCAAGGTTAAGGTATTACTTGTTCATGTTGTGCACACTTCATCACTAGCACCAGAGTCAGTTCTGTTTGGAAAGCTGTGAGAACCTCAAATCCTATTTTCCTATGTTATGTTTAGTGTGATCATGACTCATGTTTAGCAAATCTGTAATCCATTTTTCAGCCTGCTTTCTTTACATGTGAAAATAAAATGGTTACATGTGTCATAATAAGTTCTGAATCAGCTGACCAATTTTCATGAACATAATGTTGCAGGATGTCACCCCACTTAATAATCTCAAACACTTTTAACACCAACAGTAGCTACCAGTTTATGTAAGATCCCCAAATGTTGTGTGATGGTAGTTTTTGAAAAGATGCCTGAGGATTATTTTTGTATGACGTATATAAAGTAGCAGTATAGTGATTGTATAAAGTTAGTTTTGTTCTGATGGCTGTAACAGATGAATCAGACGTGTGTAATTTGTTATGGTGTTGGATCATAAGCCATTATAATCCATTTAAGGTTGCAGTGTGATGGGTCATCTGATGACAAAACTTTGTCCATTATTTTCTGTTGTCCCATAAGCACTCTTCATATGTCTGTGTTTAATCTTTCTCTGCTCTGTTCATGTATATTCTTTCACATAATATCTACATGCTCATTGGTCTCCCCAGCTGTCATTAATTTGGCAACTTTTAATGCTCACAGAGTAATCATGTTGTCATCATTTATGCATAACAGCTCATAAATATTCTTACATTTGTGTGAAGTAATCCTAATAATAAAAATCATAACTTGCTTTTATAGTGCATGATAACTCGTAGGTGGTTGTTCAGTGTTGTAGTGTTTTATGTGAATATGTGTATTTAAGTTCCTTTTTAGAATTACATTGAAAGTGGTCTTATGTATGATGTATGTAATGGTTCTCAACCTGTTTCTACCACCCCCCCTTGCAGACGCCAACAGCAACTGGAGGCAGCAGGCATTGGTCCAGGGGCAACAGGAGAAGAAAACCCTGCATTAATGGCTGAGCTTCGAGCTTTGAGACAGAGAAAAGATGAATTGGAGAGCCATTTGGGTGCACTGCAAGATTCACGTAGGCAACTCATGGTTCAGCTGGAAGGCCTCATGAAGCTGCTCAAGGTCTGTCTTAGCACCAATCTACTGTCTATGTATAAAATCCAATTTTTATAGTTTTTAAATTTTAATTTTAACATTTCTTTTTAAATTTTAATCGTTATGAAATACATGAGTGTGTCGTGCATTGGGGGAGATGAAGAATGCATACAGGATTTTAGTTAGAAAACCTGAATGGAAGGAGCCAGGTGGTGATACCTTCGAGAAGGAGCATACATTGGAGAGTAATATTAAAATAGATTTTAAAGAAATAGGTTGTGAAGATGTAGACTTGATTAATATGCATCACAATGGGGTTCAGTTGAAGTAATTGTTATTTACAGCCATTTTTACAGTCTTAAGAAACTGATAACCACTCAGCTAATCAAGGAATTCTCCATCCTTAGTAGAACTTGAAGGTTGATTACTGTGTTTACAAAAGCCCACTAAGTCTGAGGCCCTCTGTAATGTTTTGTAACTTGTTGCTTTTTATGAAGAGGAGTTTCAGCCCTCCACTCAACCCTCAAACTGGAGGACCACATCTTGCCTGCCCATGGAGTCCTTTTCCTCCATCCACAACCTGAGGACATGCCATGCTGTAGTGACATTAGTGCATGACATAAAACAACAGGCCACCTAATAAAAATCTAAGTTCTTTTAAACATTCTTCAGAAAATTGGATATTATTGAGATACAAGGATTAGCTGTATAAATGATGGATTTTTATCTTCAGTAAATGAACATAAGACCAGTGAGGGATGCATTGTCACGAGGAACCAATTTGGAAACTTTGTGTTATCTAAACTGAAGTACCATACCAGGTTGGTTTGCAGACACTAATGTAAGGTGAAGGAAATGTTCATCTTATTATAGGCTCTCTGCTGTGCAAATACTTTCAGCTCTCTTGAGTACATTCCTTTGATTTATCCAGAATCATCAAGCTTCCCCAAGATCTACACCAAACTCATCACCACGTTCCACAAAGTCTCCTCCACTTCCTCCAGGAGCACCATCTTCACGCTCAGCACCTCCTACCCCAGGAGGTCAACTTCAGCCATCAATGATGACATCTTTGGGAACAGGAGCTGACTCATTGACAGGGGTTGGAGGAGATGTGAGGTCTGCATTTGGGACATCATCATCCCTTATAGGTATGTTGTTCTTTCCTGTCATAATTTGAGCCTGATGTTGATGAACACACCATCGTCTCCAAAATTTCATGGCAGAACTCACTTAAAAAGAGGAAAAATTAATCTGTTAAGTTTCATATATTCTAGATCATGTCTGACTGCCAGGTCTAATATTGAATTGAATATTAAAATGGACTCAATCTGGCATATACTGGTTCATTGTATTTTAATGTTGAACTGAATTTAGCAGAGGATTTCCTATGATGTTCATTCATTTCAACATGTCTGACCAGATCCAAGTTTATTGTAGCATAAGACCTGATCTGAGGCTAACTCATCCAGGGGGCCCAACACATGGGCTGTCTGTCCTCTTAGCTCTTTTTTTACCTGAAGATCAAAGCAGATTTTGGCTTTCTAAACATTGTAGATTTATGATTTAGATGACCGATTAAGTCTGAGAGAAAAATTTTACATACTCATATTTCTACTCAATATCTGTTGTGGTCTTCTGGATTTTAGTTGTGTAAACGGTTACTACTGTTTTGGAGGAACGTTGGTAGTCATTTACAAGACTACATGGTGTCACAATTCAGAAGACGACAATTGGCAGGCCTGTTCTTATCAGTAAATGAAATTGTATTTTGTTTTTCAAATGTTCTCAGGGACATCTTCATCTTCACTGACTGGTTCAGGTAGCAATTCTGCTGCTGGAACAAACAGTAGTGGACGAAGTCTTCGTAATGATCTTCTAGTTGCAGCAGACTCTGTGACTACTGCCATGTCCACGCTGGTACGAGAACTCAATTCAGGTATGCTTCCAAAACAACCAAAACTGATAAGGAGTCCTCAGAAGTGTCTTTTCAACTTGAGTATTCTGTGTGCATGTAAGAGCACGGTGGAGTTCACATATGAACAAGTGTTATTTAATGGTAGGAATTGTATTTAGATTATACCAAGGTGGAAAGGCATTTTCCATATTTAAATAGATTAATAACATGGAAAAGTATGTTTTTGGATAGTTTCATTAAACCACATGGGAGAAGAAAACAGGTGAGATTCTTTTCCCGCATCATGTGTCTCATGGTTATTTTTCTTTGGATGGAACAAATATGAGCCCATGAAAGTATATAAAGGAACAGGACATATATTACAGGTGTATTATGTATTGCTATCTGCTTTATATCTTTTGCTAAGATTATGAAATGTATACTTTTAATTTTGGAGCCAGGGTAGCTCAGTCTGTACAGTGACTAGCTCTGGGCTGGACGACCTGGGTCCGGTGCAGAGGATTTTTTCCTGTAGCCTCTGTGTCCACACTAGCTCTGGGGCCCACCTAGCCTCCTATCCAGTGGGTACTGGGGCCCTTTCCCAGAGGTAAAGTGTGGCTGGGGCATGATCCTGATCACTCATCCCCAGCTAGTGACCACTCACCCCCATCTATTGCCGAGGTTAAGAATGAGTAGGAGCTATACCACCTCTCCTCCCAAGTGCCTACATGGCATATAGTGGGACAGCTTTAGTTTTACTTTTTTTACTCTTAATTTTTCTCTTTTTTAATGACAACACATGATTTACTTGTAGTTGCTTTGTGGAAGTACTTTTCAGGGGAAAAAATACTGGATAATTATAAAATGTAAGGGAGACAGAGGATACAAATACCAAAGAGTCATAAAAGTTAATATTTAAACAGTGATCCCCATTAAGACAAATCCCACATGCTTTTAGATTCCTAGGAAATATTTACAGGTAACTGAAAATTAAATTATTTCACTTTATTGCTTTATGTACACTTAAATTTATTGGTAATTGTATGTGCATGAAAATTGTTCGGAATAAAACATAATTTATGTGAGATTTCAGTTTCCCGTAGTAGCATGTATGAATATGGCTGTCTTCTGGGTTGTTGACATGATCATCCTTATGACAGAGGCAGCAAGCATCCATGAAACACTGGTAAACTTCTACAAGACTACATTGTGCAGCAACCCAGAAGACAGCCATCTTCATTATTTATGTGACCAATTCATGCATTTTTTAACACTACTGATTCACATGTCCGTCTCTTGAGGACTAGTATAACGTATTTTTATTTATTGTCAAGGTACTATGAACTGTACATATAGGAATCTAAATTGCCCAAGTTGATAGTTAATTTACTACTCAGTTCAACAAAGAAATACTTTCACATTTATCTACAGCTGAATGACATGAGTGTTAAGTACAGCTACATAGGAATTTGGATTTTTTAAGAAAATTTTGTCTTTTTAGTGTTAATCCTTTAAAAATGTACTTCTTAGTATGCTCACTGCTTACTTACTTGCTTTGTATGCCCAAGATTACCATAAAGTGTTCGAAATGTTTTCTATTATTTTGTCTTTCATCTTTATGAAGTTAATTTCCTTTCCGTTATTTCTGAGTTTCAGGTAGAACAAATTAATTTTCCCAAGTATATATAGTAGTGAGATTTCAGTGTAATATATGTGGTTAATTTATTAAGAAACTCAAAATATTAAAAGGGATAATATTTTAGATGCTTGTTTAAACTTCCTTGTGTAATAACTCTCTGTCCAGGTCATACATGCAAGTAGCATCTCATATTACATGTCTGTACTTGCATAGGTTTTAGATTTTGAGACGATAATATTTACCATAATTGCTTTACTTGTGTATTATAGTAAATCTTATTTTTACATTTCTACACTGTTCTGTGTGTGTTTATTCTGCAGTTTATGGGTGTGCTGGTATCACTCTTAATTGAATGTACTAGCATTAAAAGAATGGTGTTAACTCTAATTTTAACTTTCAGGGGCTCATATTTCAAAAGCGGAATGTTTCTAGCAGTTATTTTAGTCTGATTTGAATCATTAGTTACACAGTATTATTATTTTTTTATGGAATCCATTGTATATTTATTCTTAACCCTCACCCCTCACCCCCAAAGGAAAAGTGATTGTACACATTTATCTCCCTAAAATGTGTGAGATCTTTGATTGGAATGTATCTTGTAAGTTAGATTTCCATTCTGTAAATATGAAAATTGTTACTGATGAATATAAGATGGTTCTTGTTAATTATTTTTATCCCCTCATACCTTTTTTTTCCCCAAAGATATTTTGAGAATGGAGACCCAATATGAATTATTAGAGCTTTTGTACATATATCACCCTGGATTGTTATTTGCATTACAATATAACCCAGTTATAATGTTATGTGCATGTTGCTGTCTGTTAGTTATCTGTTTGAACCGAACTTGCCAGACCATTTCACTTTCTGCACCATCCCCCTCTCTAATAACTGTTGGCACTTCAGGAAGCTACGTGTAATATTAATGTCCCGCGCCGTAGCCGCATGGTCTGAGGCATCATGCTTCGGACCGGCAATACGGAATGCACGCTGGTTTGAGTCTCGGGGGAGAAGAAAATTTCTCATGAGCTTTCGACCAGTGTATTGGACCGGTGCCAACCCAGCATCGTGAGGAAATTGGGGAGCTACAATGGGTAGCATAATCCGGTCAGGAAAGCTAGCAATGGCTGGGGGTTCGTCGTGCTGACCACACGTCACCCTATATCTGGTTGTATGATCGTTCACCTCTGCTTAGGCATGTGAACGTGAGGCCAGTAGTCAAGCTAGTCGGCTTTGGCTCTCAGAGGGCTGTTACGCCACGGATTTAATTTTAATTAATGTGTAATATTAATCTAAGTCAGTGCTTCTCAACCAAAAATTTATCATAGCTGTATTCTTCATAAATAATGTGCCATAATCACATTCTTGAATAAATTTGCGATGGGTACATCCAATTTTCAGTAAGGTTGTTAATGCTCCAAAATGTGAGTGTAAGACACACAAATTTGAGTTTTAATGTATGAATTGGGGAAGATGTGCTTAACTTAAATTATAAAAGTGTACTGATGGGAACTCGTTCATATCTATTGTTGGATACATGAAACACTAAAATTATTCATAGTATGCAGAAAGAAATTTCAAGATTGGAACAAAACTAATGTAACACCTTAAATCTTTTTCAAAGATTTATCACCATACAGAATTGTGAGACCCCATATTGAATTTCTCACATGTTGTTCAAGTTATTCCTGTTTGCAAGTTTATACATCTGATATGTAGGTTGGTAATGATAAAGATAGGAAGTAAGAAAGTACAAAGCCGAGTTTGTCTCTGGTAGCGTGATCATATTGAATTTCTCCCATATCAGTAATTAGTGGTCACAGTGTTGAATTATCTTTGCTTGAATCAAAGGCTGTCAGAATAAGTGCAGCCAAGGACTCAAAAGGATGAACTGTGTGCCATTACTCCATATTGCATTGTTATTCTTTGTACTTACCTAGATGCTTTGAAACTGATTGTTTTCTTAACATACTCATAAATGGCTTTCTAAACTTCCTACTTTATTGCAAATATGCCTTTAGATGGTGACACAAGTAACGAAATTTTTAGTTGAGCAGCAGAGCAGTTGCAGTTGTGCTTTCAATTTAATGATTTTAAAAGTGATTGGAGTGTGAATTCAGTTTTTTTTAATCCTTATAAGAAATAGTTTAATCACAGTAAATAACTTGGCTCTTTACACACAATTTATTTTCATGTCTTGCCTTGAACTTGCTGTCTTTTCTTGTCATAATCCCACCCTCTGTTCCATATCATTATAAGTGGGTTATAGTGTATTGTAATGTTTTCCTATTATTAGTGTTTTGCTCCAGTGTGGAATGTGTTGTCTGTAGTGCTAGATGCTAGTCATTAGTGTTAGTGTTGTTCCTACAACCTTGACTGGCTCTTCTTTCAGAGGGCTCTGATCAGGAGGATGCAGATGAGAACATCAGAAAACCACTCGGTACGTCCAAAATTTTATATGATCCTTTGAGTTTTTAGGTAATACAGTGTGATGAAATTACTAAAATAAACGTGATTGATTATCCACTACATAATTATGAATAAAATGATACCTAAAATTGTCTCTAAGAATAATCCGTTTACCTGACATTAAACAGTGTTAAATGTTCATTAAGTTCTTCACAACACATTTGCTGTCTTATTTGTATGTTTGTTGTTCTTGCCATCTCATCCTAGGGCTTGAATGCTCCCACATCTGTTCTTTCATCATGGAATTTAATCATCGATTATGGTCTTCCGAAATGTAACACTATGTATGGTTCTAGCATTTTGTAACTACCTCCATCCTCGGGCTTGAAGAACTAGACCTACAAGACTACATAGCATCATGACCCAATAAACCACAATTAGCATCTTCATTGCCATGAGAACTGCAAATCTTAGTTGAAATTTAGTCCTTCTCAGAAGAAAATAATAATTTACCTGTCAGTCCAGTGCTATTAAGAAGGTAAACAGTCATAAACTTTTCTCAGGCTTGAAAGCTCCTGATCATACAAGTTAAACAATCTAGGAAAGATTTCAGATTCTGAAGGGTAGCATGTTAAACAATCTAGGAAAGATTTCAGATCCTGAAGGGTAGCATGTATGAAGATGGCTGTCTTGTGGGTTGTTGTGCAATGTAGTCTTGTAGAAGTGTACTGACATTTCAGAGGCGATTACTGCCATCATCATCAGAGTTGTGGTGTTAGTTAACTAGTTAGCTAAGTAGCTAAAAGTGTGGGAAAGTAGGTTACAAAAGGACACAGGAATTACCACTCAGTATTATTGATGAAACGCAGCACCTCTGCTATGAACTGGCGTGTAAGGTCAGAAAATTTGTGGGACTGTGTGAAATTAAGTTAGTCTGTTTGGGTCTGCAGATTTTGAAACAGAGGATGGAGGAGAGCCTGATGGACCTGGCACTACTGCTGCTCTTTGGAGAGAGGAAATCCGTAAACGTTATGAACAAGAGTCGCAATTCATTGCGGAATTGAGGGCACGCAACCTTGGAAATGGACAGGAATTTGAAGATAAGGTATGTTAAAATGTGAAATTTTAATGATTTCAGATTAGCAGCTGTACATAAGACTTTATGTTCTGTATCAGATTTGATTGCAGCAGCTCATCTATAATATACAGTGGATTCAGGTTAATTGAGACATGTCAGGACTAGAACACTTTGGCCCAATTAAGAGGCTGCCCCAATTATACGAAGTTCCACGTAAAGAGTTAAAAGGTTTGTTCTTTAAGATTTGTCCCATATAAATGGCTGCCCCGATTAACTGATGGCCCAAATAATCATAATCTACTGTATACATTCCAAAAAATATTAAATGGAATAATATATTAGTATATGAATTCTTACATCAAACAGTTTGTTTTTCAACTTTGTGTTTCTTACATTTCAGCCTATTAGAGAGGTTTGCAATGGATATGTCAAAGTAAGACAAGTTCTAGAACATACTTGTACCACCTTCTTTCCTGTAAATACTTTCATCTTGCAGAAAGACTGGAATTAATTAAAAATTAATTATTGCACTCACCCCCATTTAGTGCTGACATCAAGATTAAGTAGGAGCTATACCTTCTCTCCCCCCAAATGCTTACATAGGATGTAGTGGGACAGTTTTACTTTTTACTTTTTTAATTTTAAGATATTTTATTTTGTTTAATTTTACATAGGGTGCAGATGGCAAAGCAGTCGATGAGGCAGAGCTGTATGACCATCAAGCACATGTAAGTTCTCTTAACATTTTTCTTGCTCTTTAATTAAACAGTTGTTCGATTGTAGTCCTCAAAAATGAATTTAAAAATGGAACAGAGATATTAACTCTGTATTTCCTAATAGTGAACTTGAGTCATTAGCAATTTCCAGGTATCCTTAGTTCTGTAGTTATTTAAATATAGTTATTAGTAATGTTTACGTTAGGACCTCAGGACCTCCAACTCTTTTCACTGCAATAGCATCACACACACACACACACACTCACTCACTCACATTATCACTCTCGATCTGACACTTACATTAATCAGATTGACAGTGTCGGCTGTCTTTCAGTCCATGAGACAACGAGTGAGTGGGCTCACAGATGAGGACAGCTACAAAGATGATGAAGATTCTTACGTCCGGACAACTGATGATGATGAAGGAGGTGCCACAGATTGGGAGGAGGCCATGAAGAGATGGGTAAACCGATAGAATACAGTGCACAGTTGCCCCCACTGGTGGCAAGGGGGATGCAGTAAGGGTAGCAAAAATATAGCAGGCTCTGCTGAACTACTTTGTATTGCTTCATACATTGCAACAGACCAAGTTTGATAACCAGAAGAGAGAGACGTATTGAACTAATTTTGTACATCAATGTTGAGTCTTTCTTTTCGCATACTGAGCATGTTTGCTGTGTGATGTCTCATCTGACTTGTATTTTGGACTGAACATCACAGTGCAGTGCTTAGCACTCTTGGTTATCAGGCAGTATATTTGTATAATTTCAGCATGTCCCTTTTTTCAAAATTTAGCTGAGAAACAGATTATCATGACTCACTTTTATATTCTCCTGCCAGGCACATTATGTGTTAATTCCATGGGACATTACTGCTTTCTGTACACATTTATACCAATTCTTTATTCATATTCTTTATTGTATTTCTCATTCATTGCAGTGTAATTTGTAGTTATCAGTCAGGATCAACTATCCTTACTGAAAATTTTTGTAGTTGTCATTTCGGTCAAATATAGGCATTAATAGTATTTTAACAATTAAGCATTCAGGGCAAATAATTATTATAGTTATATGTGTTTATGCTGCACATGAAGCTATAATATGTAAATAAATTAATTTGCAAGTCATATGAAAGGAAGGAATGGGCTTGATAATTTATTGATAAATACTCAGCCAAAACAACTTTTTTCCACAGAATTGTGGAAAAATGATCTGGTAGTCGGGTAAAACCTTTCCATTACAAAAGAACCTTTTTGAAACCTCAATCATTTTATTTCCTCTTGCCAGGTTAGCGTTTTTGGGCTCTTACTCTAAGGTAACATCATAAATAATCACTTTTTTATTTTAAGTTTTAGTTTCACCTGATATCTGAAGAAAGTATATACCTTTTGAATTTTAAAGTCTGTTAATTCCTTTCAGACCAAAGTAATAAAAAATGATACAGTTTATAAATATGGATGGTTTCCATAAAAAAATATGAAATGCAATAAAAACAAATTTATAATAAAAGATTTGTTGAAGAAGGCTGCCTTCTGGATTGTAATGTAAACATTAGTGACATTTCAGAGGTGCTTGCTGCCTCCTTCTTCAGGGCAACAAGCACTTCTGAAACATCGGTGGACTTCTGCCAGACTACATAGCACAAGAATCTAGAAGACATCCATCTTAAAAGTGGAAGGTTGATTCTTAAGTATGACAGCTCATGGTTTTATAAACTGCTAGTAAATTACACTAGTACTGAAAACTAAAAGAAGAAAATTAAATGTGCGCAGATAGCCTTACTAAATAATTTTAACACATACATTTGTGTTTAATAAAAGAAATGAACATGTTATTATTTGTATAGAAATGTTTCAATATAATGTTTTTTCTTAATAAATCCATTGCATAATGAAGCATTATAAACAGTTTGTTCAAAGAGGATTTTTAAACAGAACTCAGGAAGTAAAACCTGCTATGAAAATGGATAATCTGCTGCTACCATGGCCTTCTGAAAACATAGTTGTGTGTAGAAGAACACATTTAGAGTACTTACAGCGACTTTCTTGTGTGTAGTTCAGAAATAAAATTTTAACATTCAGTGTAATGTGCATCAGTCAATGTCTTATTCGCAGCAGTTTTTAAGTCTGAATAAGAAAGATATTAAATAGGGCAAATATCACATGTCGATGACACACGTCAACCTGTGGCAGTGAATGCCAGTGATAACAAAGCATTCCATTCTAGAACATTCCACATAATTTAAATGAGTCTGTCATTTAATAACTTGCTTTTTTAGATATATTTTTATTACTGTTACTGTTTTTAAATGTATGAGTGATTTAAATTGGTTTCCTTTCTTCTGCAATTTTTATCTTGGGATCAGGTTATTTACCTTGGAATAAGATAAAACATAGTAGAAAAGGAGGGTTCTACTTGCCGTGCAGTACACAGAGGCATCCTTATAAAAAGAAGAAAATATTATACCAGTAGAGTATGAATCAAAGTTTAGGAAGGTGTTGTTTAACCATTACAAAATTGTGTATTTGACTTAGATAATGTGTATCCGCTTCAATGACAGTTTTTCATAACATACGTATATTTAGAAAAGAGAAAATGTTTTATGTATGTGCATAAAACAGACTCCTAATGGGGAGATCTTATATGTTTATCTGCATTATAAACCTGGTGACTCTGTTGGAGAATACTGAGTTTAAATGGGGAAACTCACAGATTATTTTTGAATTTTTGGGAAACTTTAGCAGCCTCAAAATCAATATACAGTGGCAGTTTTTAAATAAATGTATTACACAGTGTAATTTTCAGGGTCAAGAATATCAAGGACAATAGTCAAAAAGTGGATATTACTGAGTTTGTATTCATGTTCATCAGTTACAGATGCAGAGTTTGAGACCATAGGGCAGGGAGGTTACATCTTTATCTCTCACTTTAAGTCACTGTATCAACTATCTACAATAACTTGAGAATGTTAAGGATGCCATTAAACAACCTGGCAGAACTGTATTATGGGATGTTTGAAAGATTTAGGAAAGGCTGGTTCACAGGTTCACACTTAATTGGAAACCAATGAATCAACACACATTTAATCAGGAATGTACTGTACTAGCAGTTATAGGTTGTACAAGAAAATATTTGTTAATTCACCGTTCAACTTACTGTCTGCACCGCCCAGAGAATGCCTCTGACAATATACGTCCATGTGAAGTGTTATGTTTGTAACATTGTATATACACCCTCCCACTTTGATCTTAATGGGATTGGTCAGTTTCTGTATTATTATTAGAAGGCCACTGAATTCTCCATGTGTAGTTGATGGCTAGAAACATTATACTTTCATTGGTATACTCACCCCAGTTTTATGATGGGTCAGGTTTCAGGCTGCGATGTTAAAGTGGTTTCCAAATTAAAGGAGAACTTATTATTTCTGTAGACATTATAGAAGTAACTGAAATATATATAAATCAAACTGAACATTTTGATGCATAAATATGTAAATATTTTAAGTACATAAAACAGTTACATAATGAACACAGTAAAGCTAGCTCTCAGTCTTTGTTTTCACTGTTTCTGGACAAAGTAATTTTAATTCATTCAAGGATGATGGACATCACTGAACCATAAAGCAACTGAACACTTGTAATCTAGAAAATTAGAATAACTATTAGTTGTAAGCCAACATAAAACTGTATTTGGTAACCTAAAGCTGAATTATTCATAGTACATAAAAGTGAATCGTGGTAAAGCAGACCTGACTACTGTGAAATCCTCCATTGTATGGTTATTAGATTGGACACATCACAGAGATTAAAAATTAACATCTCTTGGCATCAAGTGCACCAACAGAATTAAGTTCCCATATAATTTAACTTGATGGTGTTAAAGAATTTAGATAAGTTGAAAATAATGCAGAGTGTTGTGATTCCTTATAAGGCCTGGATTCTTTATATATATATATATGTAAAAGAAAGGCCTTCTGATTTCTGTGGCAGGTGAAAGAAGGAGAGTAGGATAAATGAGAGAAATGGCCTTGTAACACAGCATTTCCCATCACAAATCCCTCTTTTAATTATATATATATATATATATATATAGCCTGTTTTTCATATTTAGAAGTTTGTGACAATTAATGCAGCCAAGTAAAAAATGGGTATTTGCAAAAATGAGAACCAAGGACCACATAATCGAATGGCAACAGATTGCTTGTCTATTCCTTCACATATTTGTATTTTCCATTCTTTCTTACTTTATTTCTTTGTGTATGTTTTCTTTATTTGACGGACAACTAAAATATTTATCTCAATGAAGAACCAGAAATTTCATTCGCACATTTAACTTTCTCAGAAAGAAATTGATTCATTGTTATTTGTTGCTTCTTTGAGAAAGTTCAGTGGGAAGAAAATATCTAGTATTCAATTCTTTCAATTTTCTTAGAGTTCTTGTTTTGGGAAATGCTCTTACATTTCTCATATTTTCATTGTGTATGTTTGCCTAAAAAGTTTCTCATTGTATATTAATAATAATTAGTGTATAAATGTTTATGACTATGCTCTGGATTTATGATGCACAATGTATATTGCATATCATATTGATGATATTGATTGGAATTGGAATGTAGGTTTATTTTGCAATGTGTGTATCAGTTATGGTTTATAAGCCTTTGTCACTGTGAAGACTACACCCAGAATGTTGTGGAGATTAATTCAGCAATTATCCTGTTAATGGAATATAGCCCTGGCCATAAGAGCACTTCCAAAATGGCATTATGTTTAGTCTATCTTCTTTTGTCTGTTACTATCTTTTCGTAACACTGAAAATGAAAACTCAGTTCTTAAAAAGTACCATTGATACAGTGATGAATGGTATATTTTCCTGAACACCTCATTTTCATATAATTGAACTAATTTTCACTTAATGGTGCCACTTTGCTTCTTTATACCTTTTAACGTCATTTCTTTTGTACCGATTTTTGGAGTGCTGATAATGAGGCTGAAATTTCGAACTTTAATTATAATGTAAGATTCCATTTCTAAATTACTGAGAAATGAGGAAAAATTGGATAAAAGTGATTTTAAACTAAATTGGGGTTGTTTCACACACATTATGATTGATTTTGTAGTATTTCTTTGTCAAAACACCCAGCACTGTTTGTTCAGTAAGATAGCAAACAAAACAAAAATTTTGAATCTTTTGAGCTGTGTGTGTTTGCACTAAACACTTCTCTTTCAAAGCATTATGATTCATTGGAAACTAAATTAAGTTCTGGTATTTAATGACTCACCCTGCAAGAAATATTTCCCTAAGTGAATATATAGTGTGTTACAACTCACATACCAGTTCAAAGAAGATTGATTTATATCATTTATCTCCCTCCTTATGTGCAGTGGAAGTGAAGTTATGTTTGATTTCATTTGTGTATATTATTTAGTCCTGTATCATTTTAATTTCATATTAATGTAAATAGTGTAGCTGTCCCTCAGTTGATATTTGCCATGTGAAATACTGCATTACTATATATATATATCAGTGACATTTTAATGTAGAACAATGTTAAGGTCTGAAATATTCACACTCGTAATATGTAATAGGTTTTTAAAAATGCATATAAAACATGTAACTATGCTCTTTATGGGGATTTGCATTGAGTTACTTTAAAACTTGGGGGGAGGGGGATCCAAGAAAGATGTGTTTTAAACTTGAATAAAAGTTTTTGCCATGTATGCCATACGTTTTATTATTAATTTTATGAAACTGTTGGCAGAAGGGAAACTGTTATATGTTAAAATATGAGATTTTCATGGCAGTGAGTGTAAAGGTGGCTGTCTTATGGGGTGTAGCACTGTGTAGTCTGGTAGATACTAATGACAAGTGTTTCAGAGGAGCTTATTACCTCCATCATCAGGGTCATGTAGATATTAAGCTCCTCAGAAACATCAGTGAGTACCAATCAAAATATACAGTGGTACATCCCAGAAGACTGGCGTCTTTATATTACAATTTACCAAGCACTGTCTGATTGCCATGGTTTTCAAAATCTTCAGAAGTGTTCTCTTGAGACATTAGACAGGAAGCTAAAGGAAGGAAACTATACATTGAACTGAGTTGCAGTTAGTTGAAAATATGATGTTCTGAACGGCTCTATGTAGTTGATACCATCCTTCCAAAAGGGTAGTGGCGTAGGTCTCTTTCCTTTAAATTTTAACTCTAATGCCTTCATCAGTATTGTAATTATATCCATTCTTTTCACATGACTAAATTGCTGTATTCAATTCGCTTCTAACTCTGTTAACAGATTTTGTGTTCAGACTTCTTTATATGTTCATTTATCATTCTATCCCTACTTGTTTTTCTACATTTGATACATTCTTATTGCAGCTTTATTACATCCAAAATAATAGAAATTAAGTTAAGCATAAGTCTCATTATGTGATTTCTGGTTTGCATTTATCACAATTGTAGGTGCATTACTAGAGAAATTATAACACACAGACTTCATTCTTGTTACATGAGAACATATATATATATATGCGTGTGTGTGTGTATATACTGTATACAATTATAAATGCATGTTTGTTACAATGTAAATATGTATGTACTGTATTTCCAAGCTTCCTGTAACTTGATTGCCTATAAATACCACAACAGTCTTATTCTCAACTGTGGCATTTGTTGTAATCACACTGCCTTTGTCCAGTACTTTGGATTTCATTTCAAATAATTTATTTGTATTTGCAGGTCATACTGCCCCATGAGAATAGTGATAAGGATAGAGTTCCTCAGTGGATTAATGAAAATTATTTTCTCCATTCAAACCCAGGATTTTATTCTGTCAAGGCTATTTGTGAGATTTCAGGTTCTCAAGGCAGTGTGGTAGACATTTACTGATGTTTAAGAAGTGCTTGCTGCCTCCATCATAAGAATAAATTGACCTATGATGGAGGCACCTCTGAAACACTGGTAAATGTCTACCAGACTACGTGGCACAGCAACCCAGAAGACAGTTGTCTTCAGGCTATTAATGCAGCTGCTCATGCCAATAGTAGAATACCAAATATGATGGCACAGTTTTAATATAGTTTACGTGTGTTCATGAGACTTGGGTACCTGATTCATATCTGAGCAGGAAGACTCATCCTGGCAAGATTTTTAGAACTTATCCCAGAATATGTAGGCAGTAGAATGAAAATGGTCATGACCAATTCATTATTACTAAGTAACACATGCACGTGACATATTAACCTTTTTGCTGCAGCTAATGCAGTAGAGCATAGTAAAATGTTCGGTCTTTCCCTTAAGATTCTAAAATATTGTATATAAAGGACATTTAAGTTGACTATCATGAGAGCGTCAAGATTGAGTATGAAGATTTCTGTCTTCTGGGTTGTTGCACTGTGTAGTCTGGTCGATGTTAACCAACGTTTCAGAGGTCATACTGCCTCCGTCATCGCCCTGATGACCTCTGAAACGTTGGTTAACATCGACCAGACTACACAGTGCAACAACCCAGAAGACAGAAATCTTCATACTCACTGCTGTGAAAACCTCAAATCTTACAAGATAGAATGAATTTAAATGGCATAGTAAAGGAGTTTAATACATCAACCTCCAACCAAAGTGAGCAAACTGTGATGTTTCTCTGTGGTCTTTTACTCTGGTATTCAGTCATATTTGATATACTGTTGCAAATTCTTCCTGACATTCCTTTTGTTATGTTTTACTGAACCTACAATTCAGTGGGCTGACTTAGCTGTAGACTGGGCTGAGTGCTACAGTTAATGAACACCTCGTTATGTGTCTAGAATATTGCATGGCCAGACTAGGCCAGCCCACATAGTATATACATCGAGCCTGGACCAGATGCTGAATTGACCCATGACTGCAGTGCCGATCCCATGGCTTCCTTGGCAAGACCGGCCTTTCCCATTAACAACCGGTGGCCATATCAGTCTACAACAGATGGCAGCACAGGCTTTTCCGTACGTTTGCTTAAAATTGTGTACAATATTCTGTGGCAAGAGACATTCACTACATGTGGTACAGACAAAGAAGTGGAAGTGTGTGCATTGATACTAATGAAATTTGACGTTTTACGAATATGTAAATACTGACTTAACCTGATCTTGCTTTAAAATCTAGTTCTACAAGTATGTCGCTTGTTCCATTAGATTACGTGGACACACACAGACGTTTTTTACAAATATTAATGAGACGCCGCATGATTCTGTATGACGAAGCTTTCGATGTGTTCTGCAAGATACAGCAGTGTAAGACATGTTAGATTATTCGTAAGCATTGTATGTAAACATCTTAGTCGAAACCTACATGTTCTTCTAATAAGTTTTAAGTAATGCCAAGCACATAAACCTACAAGAACGAATCCTTTCTGTGGATATAAAGGTTAAGGTAGTACGAAGCAACAGTAGCACGTAGATTTGAGTGTAATGCTTGAAGTCGAAATTGGCCATTCTTTTATAATTTATGGATTCACCTCATAAATTTATTGAATTTGAACGCTGTTATTTTAGTTCGACTTTGTTAAATTCCTCAATGAAGTAACATTTTTATTTGCAGTTGCTAAACCGTTCTAACCTATCGACGATGAAAACGAAGCTTCTTGTTTAAATGTTAGAATTTTATTTAAATATTGCATGGCTTGCAATCAATAATGTTATTGAATACAGAGTCACCATGTTGAAAGCACAAAGAGCATAACTTTGATATTCTGTCCATGCATAGTGGCTTTGTTGTTTTGTTTAGCTGTGAATGAAGAAAATGCAGCAAATTCTCACCATAGAGAAATGGAACAGGCAGTCTCACTTATCAACAGAGTCATCAAGAGATTCAATATGGAGATCCAATGTGCACAAGATGAAATTACAAGTGAAAAATGTTATCTTTTTATCAGCACAGTGGAAAATAATATTACAGGGTAATTTGTGTAATTGTTATCTGTATCTGATATGACAGTAGCTGTTCCTGCAGTTGTTAGAGTTTCCATGGCAGTGATGATTTGCATTATGGTTTTTTGGGTTATTATGACATACATTATTTCAGGAGGTGCCTATAGCCTTCACTTTCCACCTTACATAACTATGAAATTTAAATTTGTATTAGAAACAAGTATTTGTGTTACAACATGTTCTACATCTTTGGAGGATGAAGGATCTGTGGAGTATAAACAAATTCTATTCTATTCTATTTTTAGAGGAAGGGCATGATGTGTTCCTCCAAAATGCTGGTTATCACCAGCAGGTCTACGTGGCAACATAACCTGGAAGACCACAATACTTGTGAATAAAATGCAGTTTCAATTAGTGAGGAATACACATAAGTGGAAATGTAATGCGTCTTATTAATGAGACAGTTGATCTCACTGTGGAAATAGGAAGTGTTGAATGACAGGATGGTTACTGAATAATGAATTGGAAAGTATATGGAAGGAAGTGGTCATGGCCCAATTTAAGGTACTGTTCTGACATTTGTCTGAGGAAAACTATGAAAATTCATAGAATAGTTAGTCTCCAGGCAAAGATTTGGACACAGGACATCCCTTATGAATAGTACTAAGTAAACAGTTGATAGAGATGTTTGAGAACATTCAGATAACTTTGAATTTTGCTGCACGAGGAGTTGTTCTCTCGGTGTGTGACAGCAACTTTCCTTAAGCTGGGGTGAAGTCTGATAATTTTCAGTAACATCTCTAGTTTATTGTTCCTTAGTATCTTAATGGCATACAATAAAATCAGTTCCATAATTTTATGATTGCTCTTGGCATCTAGATAAATAATGAGACAATTACAAATGCCTTGTCATTGATGAAGTTTACATTGTTTGTATATTCTCTAAGTATATTGTCTCTTGTTAATTATTTTTTCTCTTTGTAAAACAGGAAGTATACCAAGTATTCTGCAGTAGAACTGGAATTTTTTAAGAAAGTTCTTTTTGAGATTGTGAGTTCTGAAAATGGCCATGTGTCATCTACAGTGTGTCTCAATTTGAATTCCTCTTTACCAGGGAACATGACTAAATCTGACATTGAAGCACTTATTGAGAAGTTCTGCGAAGATCTGTGGCTGTCTCAGAAGGTTCATGTCTTCATATTTTATTCTGTTTTCTGTGCATCACTGATTATATGCAAGATATATAACTGCAAGATCAGGGACATTGGAACTGTTGTTCCAGCACTGGAACATGGTGTCAGATTGCATTAGCGCAACAATGACCTATTTGACATAGCCAAGTAGACAACTGATAATTCTATGAAGATTTCTGTCTTCTGGATTGTTGCACTGTGTAGTCTGGTCGATGTTAACCAACATTTCAGAGGTCATACTGCCTCCGTCATCAGGGCTACACAGCGCAACAACCCAGAAGACAGAAATCTTCATACTCACCTCTGTGAAAACCTCAAATCTTACATGATAATTCTATCTTTGGTGTGTCAAGAAAGGTCAAATTTCTTTCATGTTTGCTGTACAGAATGGGAAAGTCTACCTAAGTCTCCTGAGCATTGTGGAGTTAGAACCCCTCCTAACTACAGCCTATGAAGATTCTGTCAATATCTGTTGCCTCTGCAAACATCTTGTCATACAGGTAAGTACCATTGGTCAGATCATATACAGTACATTTTGGATTGGTTGTGGTCACAAAAATAAACATGCTGGAAATACAGGATTACTCTGTAATTTAATGTCAGCTGTACCAGTTTGTGTAAACGTTTCTTGGATTCCCTCCATCCATCTAATTCTTGATTTTTTTCTTTTTCTTCTTCCTGGCAGCACATACTCAGGGACATGATTATACTATCTGTTGTTTGCTGTGTGTTTCAACAACTTATCATTTGATTGAAGTTGCGAATGATGGTGTGTTCTGTAACATTAAACTTGGAAAGCATCTCTAATCCATTGTTTTTTATAACTAATTGACGAACCCTGCATTTGTGTTTAGGGTTACAGGTGTGACAAATGTTTTGCATTGTTGCATTTGCATTGTGCTCGTCTATACACCGAAGGGGCAAATAGAAACACTTGTCCCGCCTGCAGTGCAGATCAGCCAAATATACTGGCGGCTGTTGAAAATACTTCTCTGCACACTGAAGATGATTTCAGCACACCTACATCTCATGGTTAATTCGCTGTAACATGGCATGCAAGAAAAGGAATTTGTGATTTGAAATAAATGTACAACATATAAAACTTATTTGAGTCTTGTTACAGAAGCATTTAAAAGTATTTACATGTATGAATGAAATACGTACAAAAATGTCTAATTTTTAAAGATAATTGCATGAACATTATGTAAAGTGTTTTACGCACAAAATATCTCCCATCTTTTCTTTATATTCAAAAACATGTAGACATTTTGGTTCCTAACCTTTAACCGTTGTGTTGTCTGGCTCTCGCATAGTTATTAATCAGATTTCTAAAAATGTAAATCAAACTTAAGGAATGTAACTAGTGTAGTAAAGCAATTAGAACTTTTCGTAGAAGAGCAAATGTATTATACCTGCTTATAAAGGAATAGTTTTTTGTATTGATTCTTGTAGTTCCACAAGTAGTCAGCAATTATACAGTTCATTCAGGAGAGAAAAAAAGAACAGTGAAGTCAGCAAAGTAGACATGGTGGTTTTGATTCAGAAGGCATTT